AGGAGGTGGGACTCTCGAGCTAAGCCCTGTGTCTGAGGGGAAGTAGCTGGTTGCCTTCAAGAGGCTGGGGATAAGAGTATAAGAGAGGAAAGATGGTGCCTCCCAGCATGCTCTAGGGCCTCTGTCCAGTGTCCACCTACCTCATGGTGGTGGAGCCTCAGCTTATCTACAATGTCAGAAAGAAGCTTTCCCAGAAGCAATCCCTCCAGGGAGGTGCCATCCAGAAGAGCACAGTAGAATGCCCCGACTGCAGAGTCCCAGGCACTGTCCTGGGTTGGCTTGTTGATTCCACCTTCCCAAAACCTAATGCCAGAGGCTCTGTTAGCTCCGGGTACAGAGAGGGCTCACCCAGGACACAGTGAGAACAAAGTTTCAGGGGTCAAAGCCCCGACACCTAGTGTGGGCCCACCCCAGTGCTCTCTGCTCACTCACAGTGGAGGATGATGTCACTGGAACTCGCCTGCCTAGCACCAAAGGTCTTTCCTAGGATCCTCTTTCCTATCTGCACGGACTTCACAGAGCTACAAGGAGACAGCACTAATGAGGGGCTGGACCTGGAGAGCTTGGCCCAGAGATGGTCACAGAGAAAGTGCTGGGCAGGAAGCAGCTGCCCCAGGGCAGTGACAGAGGCAGACACTCTTTGACTAAAGATTTTTGGGGTAGTGGTGGGTGGTGGGGTATTAAATCACAAAAAGAACAGTCCAGAGGAACCGAGGAACAGCCCACCCACTCTGGACTCACTATTCAATGTACACGGAGATTTCTTTCTTACTGGGCCAAAGGTCAATGCCATTTTCTGAGACTTAATCTTGGTTGCTCTATTGCCTTTCAGGAGACAGACTGTCCCTGCTGCCAATCCTAAACTCATATATTTCCTTACCATCACTACTTCTCTGTCTCCCCTGCTGACTAGGTGGATAACAGGATTCACTTACATTCCTTTGAAAGCCAGGAGAGGACGTTTCCCCCAAATGCTTCCTTTTTCTTTTCCAGTGTTTACTTCTTGAATTTGCGTAGGTGGGTACTATTTGTTCACAGCCTTTCCTCACTTATCCTTGGGTCATTGCTCAGTAAAGATTAACTTCGTGAGTGTCACTGTGGGAGGTGCCCAGGAACGCCTGCTTTAAGTGGACTCTTTAATACCATGGCCGTGAACTTTCATGTTATGATATTTAATTCAATTTTTTTTCTTTTTTCCAGTCTGACTGCATAGTTAATATTTTAATTTTTACAATTACATGGTTTGCTTATTTATTTATTTTTGGTGTTTTGAAACAGGGTCTCTACATATCCTTTGCTGTCCTGGAACTCACTGTATAGACCAAACTGGCCTAGACTCACAGAGATCCACCTGCCTCTTCCTCCTGAGTGCTGGGATTAAGGGCATGTGCCACCATGCCTGACTTTCACGCTGGTTTTAAAATGTAGATAGTTGGGGCTGGAGAGGTAGCTCAGTGGTTAATAGCACCTGTTTCTCCTCCAGAGGACCTGAGTATGGTTCTCAGCACCCACATCTGACATCTCACAACCACTTTGAGTTTTAACTCCAGGGGATCCAATACCCTCTTTTGGCACCCAAGGGTACTGTACTTATGTGTGCAAACCCACATTCTCTCTCTCTCTCTCTCTCTCTCTCTCTCTCTCTCTCTCTCTCTCTCTATCTCACATACACACACACACACACACACACACACACATACACACATACACACAATAATTTAAAAATATTTAAAGTGTACATGGTCAAATACCCACAGGAATTAGCTTTTGTCAGTAGTTCTAAAACTCAGAGAGTTTTATCCCCTTTGATCTAACAAATATTTAATTGTATTTAATACATATATATATATATATATATGTGTGTGTGTGTGTATATGGGTGTGTATTAGCATATCACATCTAACACAATTTTTTCCAATAGGAACTTCTTTTTTGGGGGTGGGGTGGGGTATGTTCTTGAGATAGGGTCACATGTAGCCAAGTTTTTCTGGAACTTGCTATGTAGCTGAGGGTGACCTTGAACTATTGACCCTCCTGTCTCCACCTTCCCAGTGCAGGCATTGTGGGCATAGCCACCTTGTCTGACTTGTGTTTGGAACTTTTATTTAATATTTTTTAAGTTTTTTTTTTTTTTATTTGAGTGCTCTTTTCTGCATGTATGCCTGCATGCCAGAAGAGGGCATCAGATGGCATTGTTGATGGTTGTGAGCCACCATGTGGTAGCTGGGAATTGAACTCAGGACTTTTGGAAGAGTAGCTAGTGCTCTTAGTCACTGAGCCATCTCTCCAGTCCCTCTACTTAATATTTAATTCTATTAGACTACTTTAAAATGTTAAGTCTTAGGATTGGTAGAGTGCTTACCTACCTATACAAAGTCTTGGATTTGATCTCCCAACCATAAAAAGTTAAGTTTCCAATGTTTTGGGATTAAAGAATATTCTACCAAATACAAATTACGTAGGGTTATAATAATAGTCAAACTAAATCAAATCAAGACACTTTGCAAGCAGGTATGAGAAAGCTAACCCAAACACTTAAACTTATTCACCAGAGGGCTCCATCAGAGACTTAACATGAGCCTTCAAGACTTAGAGAGACTGGCAAGATTAGCTGTATTCCCTAGCACACAGTAGGTGCTTAGTCAAATGAAGTAAACGGGTGAACGAGTAGGAGCATAGACAAGCTGAATCAGAATCCAAACAGCAATCTAAGGCACGCACTTCTTAAATGTCTCTTGGACCTAGAATAATGCCTCGGGCAGTAACTTGCATAGGTAAAGGAATGGGTCATTCGCCCATCCCTGCACTTGATCTCTGGTCCCTAACAGCCTTCCTTGAACAGAAGTGAAGGAGACAGGGACCCTGGGTCACAACCTGAGGTGGCTCTGAAGGCAGATACAAGCACCAGCAATTGAGTTGGAGATTGGAATCCCAGAAATCCTCTCTGGGAGATGCCAGGGCCCTCATAGTCCTCAGGAGGCTTCTTAGGTCAGTATTAGAAGCCCAACCATATCCAGTCTGGCAATGGCAGACATTCCTCCCTGGGGAGATCTGGCACTGTCCAGAATAGTCAAGGGAGTCTCCAAGTTCTTCCCATACACAGAGTGGAGTTGGGCAGAGCCTGCTGGGCACTGTGCTCAGAGTGGCCAGGTGGGCAGAACCCCAGGTGGCCAGGTATGCTGATGAGCATACCTGCTGGTTCACTGCCCTCCAGAGACTGACACCCACTCCTTCCTCCTTACCTTTCTCCCATCACTTGGGTGGACCAGTGCAAACCATGAAAAGATTCATTTTTTTTCTCTGTAAGAACCCAAACAGGTGGGACTTTTGGTAAAGCCCTCCTACAGAGCCATGGCCTGTAGGTGCCAGGGAACTTGGTTCAGACAGCTGTCAACACAGCCTGTTCCTAAAAGTTGAGGTCACACTGGCCCTGTCCTCCTCTGCCCAGCATCTAGAACAGCAAAGTACCCACACATTTTAAGGAAGAGACCCCAAAGCCTGGCACCGGAGTATTGGTGACATTTTTCCAAATATTACCCTGGGGTAATATTTCCAATTGCCCTGGCACAGCCCCAGAGAGTCCCGGGTTACCACCACAACAAGTGCAAGCCCCGCCAGCAGTTTAGGAGAGGATGGCTCCCCTAAACCGGTGCCTGTGTTTGAGATTTAGAAGCTTCCACGGCAAAGAAGAGAGGAAACGATGAGCTTTATAAAGAACCATATTTATTTTCATTTACAGCATCAAATATCATAAATAAACCTAGACATCATTTAGCTGTGTGTAAAATACAGGGTTCCATATGGCACTGTAAATGAATTCTCTAGGGTCACAGACATGCCTTGCCATGAGATGGGGAGGAGGCTAGCTAAAGAGGCTGAGAGCAAGGGGGGCTCTCTTTGGTTGACATTTTAGAGGGGGAATGCTGGAAGAGAAGAGAGGAGAGGAGAGGGCTTTGTACGGCTGGGCTCTGCGCCAGTGCAGCAGACACGTGCGGCATGCAGGGCTGGCAGAAGCTGAGGGCAGGGTAGCTCTAGCTACAGGCTGGAAGGACTCTGACTGCTGTCTGAGGAGGTGGGTGGGGCTAGACTCACACTGCTCTCTGCCCTCCATGTGACCGCTTTTTGTAGTAGCACATGACCATCCCACTGGTCCAGGTAGGTGAGCAGAGGGACTATGCGCTTTAGATAGATTGACAGGACCATTGACAGTGGCTGACCTGGGTTATTTCTGAAAGTCAGCGCTTGTCCTGCGACCGTGACTGCTCTGATTAAAGCTTCTGAACCAGTATGGACGTTAAGAGCCCAGAGGCATATGAAAGGCATAGCAAGGCCCTAGGATTAACTCTGCTGAAACAGAGGAAGGGCTTGCTAGCCTCATTGTAGTCACAGCAGAGAGCATGGGTCAAACTGGTCACAGAGTCTGGGGATAAGCCCACTTTTAAAACCTCGCCACACTGAGTCGCTTATGGTTCCAATCAAAGGCATTGGTAATCTTTGTATTAGAACTGGCTGAAGAAGATATTCCTAGACAGGTTCTTTTCAAAAGGTCACTAAACAGAAATGTTTTCAAAGGCCACAGAGCCTTCCTTATACGGTATTGTCTCACAATCATGGCGAACCCTCCCAAGAAGACAAGAGCCTTTGAAGGTGCAACAGAAAAAGCATGCATAGAGGCCAGCGAGGGGGGGGGGGCATGCACTTGTTGTGGACCCAGGCTGCTGGCTGGGCTCCAAAGAAGGGAAGGCAGAACACAGCTTTCAAGCTGACCCCCACCCCATGCTGTTAACCACTCATGCCTTGGGGAGTCTGTTAGTATGCAAGACACAGTTAGTGCTACCAGTCCACCATCGGCGCAGAGGATGGGGTGCGGAAAGCGGGTTAGGGGTTAGTACCTCTCTCCGAAAATTGCCAAGAAAATGAGTCACCTTAGAGCAGAAGTGTCAGCCAAGAAGTGGGTGTAGGACAGGAAGGCTGAAACGCACTGGCGGCCACAGTGTGAGGTTGGAAAGAGAAAGACAGAAAGGAGGTCTTAGCAAGGGAGCAGAACAACATCACAAGAGGAAAAAAGGGCCCTGGAGGTGATAAGAGAGCAACCACTGTCCCCCACAAATGCCTGCTTGCTTAGGAGACACAGACCTTCCTGGTGGCGGCCAGCCATTCATTTCCAAGAGTGGATGCACAGGGTCTGCACATCCACAAAACCCCGCTCTTGCCCACAAATGTTCCCAGGACCTTTGGCCCCGCTAGCCCCCATCCCCTCCATGGTACTCCGGGGTTTCATCCTCATCCTTGAGGCAAATTCATTTCTGGAGTATCTGTCTCCCAGGACCTGCCCCTGCTGTTGCCCACCAGGAAGGTTCAAGGTCTCAAAACATATAGATGTCTGGGCGTTGTGACAGACACACCCTGTCTACCAGAGTAATTCAAACCAGCCTCCTTGTGGCTATAAATGACATTTTTTAGAGAGTTCACTCTGGCTTCCCAGAGCATTCCACAGAGCATCTCAGCCCACCCTGAGCTGGAGAAAATCACTATAATCTGACCTCAAGAGTTCATGGGGCATAATGAAACATAATAGGACTCAAGGGCTTCTGCCACCATGCTTGACCATTAGAACCCCAGCTACAAGCGGGGCAAATACAATGTACGTCATCACACTGGCAACAGATCCAACAAGGTCAGGGGTGCTGGTCCCCACAGACTTGAACACAGCTATGCCCTGTCTTTCCCATGGCTTCAGGACAGAGTCTCTAGAAACGCTAGTCTCCTCCCCCTTACAGAAACTTATGTCAAAGCTTTCAAGCCGGTCTGCCTTTAAGCAGACCTTTATCTTGGAGGGTGCTCTGGTGGCCACAGCCCTCCATAGCTGTACTGTACCAGTGACAGTAGATACCCTGGGTACCTAGAAGGCCCTTAGCAGCCCTCCACAGCTGTACTGTACCAGTGATGGTAGATACCCTGGGTACCTAGAAGGCCCTTAGCAGCCCTCCACAGCTGTACTGTACCAGTGACAGTAGATACCCTGAGTACCTAGAAGGCCCTTAGCAGTCCTCCAGTTGCTCATCATGCTGCATAAGCTGAGCATCCCAGAGTTGGGTGGGGACAGCTGCAGGCTTTTCCAGACATCCAGAGTAGAAAACACTTACGGGCTCGAAGCCACCCAAAGACCAGACACTTTTCTTTTTCTGGGGCACTAGGAGAAGGTTCTCTGACTGTGTGGGTGAAATATGCAAGGCAGCCATATGCCTGGGCAGCCAGGAGACCACCAGCAAGGCTCACTGATCAGGGCCAGCAAGTATCCTTAGGTTCAAAGGACACGAGGGAGAGACAGCCTGACCAAGATGGACCTGAGCAGCTTTGGCTCTGTCTGCAGCCTGGGTTCGGGGCTAGGTAGGGGTGAAAAGGCACCATCTGAAATAGTTTGTCCTCAGTATTACCTTAGCCTGACAGAGCTATTCAGATCTAAGTGCCAACGGGCTTCACTGTAGTACCCATTAGTGGGGCGGGGGCGGGGATATATGTCTGCAGTGCAGTACCCCGTGGTGCTGTGCTATTGGCTATGATTTGGTGATTTGGTGGGCATGAGGGAAAGCCTTCAGGCTTTTTTACTTCAAAAGATAGGGGTAAAATACCTCTCCCCAACCCAGAGGACAGAGCGCTGACACACTGCTGTGTGCTTCGGTTCATTTTGGTTTATTCTACCCCTCTACTTCTTCCTTTTGACCTCACTGACTGTACATATATGTGTTCTTGAAGAAACAAACGCACGCACGCAGCACCCACTGGGAACAGGTGACATCTCTTTGCAAAATCGAAAGGCATGGGTCTGGTGATGGCACTCTCTGTTTTGTGGCTCTAAAGTCTCAGCTCATTAACTTTGCTGGCAACAATAAATCTCAACTCATTGCCAAGTTCGAGGGCCTTGTAAAACTGGTGATAAAAGTTAAAACAGTTAGAAGTATTGATACTTGTAGAAAAATAATGTTTTCTTTTTGGCTTATGAAAAGTTAAAAATTGAAATGTAAACCCAGAAATATGGCTCGCTTTGGTATGAAAAGACAAAACAATACAAAGCTGTTAAAAAAAAAAATCCTTCATGTTGTCCCTGGCCCTAGCACCATGATTAGATGCTCGACCCTGTCAAAGCCAGGTGGAGGTGGCCAACGTGGGACTCTTTGGCTTGGAGCTAATCGGTTACAGATGCTGGCTGGAGCCTGTGCCAACTACAAATGTCGCAGTCTGCACTTGGAAATGTTAGGGCACTGTGGGGCACTGCACTGTGTGCCTCACTGCAGCTTCACTGGGATGAACCTGAGCAACCAGCTGCGGATGCTCCCCAGGGATTCCTCAGACTCCCTGTACATGGCGCCTAGGACCTCGGAGAAGGCCCAGAGAAGCAGCAGCCCCAGGCACAGGAGCTCAAACGTGAAGCAGTAGTTGTAAGCATTGTCCCTGACATGGTGGCCAGCAGCATTCAGGAGTCCCTGCATCCACCTAAGCAGGCTCCGGGGCAGGTCGAGCAGGCCTCTTGTCAGCCTGAAAGGCCAGCTCAGTGCCTTCCTAAAGAAGGAGGTGGAGATACCTGGGGGGCTGCCTTCTGGCGTGCTGATGGCCGCCACTGCACAAGAGCTTTCCGTGGGAGTGTCTCTCCGAGGTGCTTCCCGTTCCTGCCAAGTGCCTTCCTCCTGAGAAAGACAGCAAAGCAAGAGCACTTAGTCCAAGAGTCTCAGAGGCTGCCTCCAATAGAGCAGACTGAGCCAGGACAACTCTAACTGGAGTGGCTCCCATACTGGTGTAGAATGTGGACACAACTTGTTTAAAGGGGCAAATTTACCATACCATTCACTAGCCTTCAAAATATGCATGCCCTTCAACCTTGTATACCTACTTGTATTGTTATATAGTACAGGAATAATTAGAAATAGGGATTAAGATTTGTATGCAACTATATTAATTGTAAAAAAAATCTTTGCAAGATAAAAGTATTAAATGGTGTAAAAGCCCAACAGGATGGAACTGCTGGAGCAGATTACTGACCATGCATAAAATACAATCTTTTAATAGCATTAGAGATTATACTCCTAAAGCAAGGTGTGGCAGTGCACACTTTAAATCACAGCACTCAGGAGGCAGCGCCAGGTAGATCTCTGTGACTTTGAGGCCAGCCTGGGCTAGCTATTGAGTTCCAGGCCAGTCAAGTTTACACAATGAGATCCTATCCCATTTAAAAACAAAAACAAAAAAGTTTTACTTTTAACTGTCAGCCTCTGCACAGCCTCCCCCCTTCTCCCCTCCCTCCCCCCTTCTCCCCTCCCTCCCCACTTCTGTTGAGTTAGAGTGTGGCTAAGTTGCTCAGACAGGCCTTGAACTTCATCCGTAGACTGGACTGGCCTCCACTTCAAACCTTCCTGCCTCAACCTCTCAAGTGCTTAGATTATATAGGGGCTGGAGAAATGGCTCCATGGTTTAAAGAGCATTGGCTGCTATTCTAGAAGACCTGGGTTTGACTCCCAACACCCACATGGTGGTTCACAACCATCTGTAACTCCAGTCCCTGAGCCTCCATGGGCACAGGGCACAAATGTGGTATACAGACATATATGTAGAAAAAAAAAAAACAACCCATGCACATAGAATAAAATGAGGAAAAATTTTAAAAAGAATTTTCAGTATCACAGAAAACTGTTCTTGATATACTGTTAGCAGAGATAAAGCTGAGAAAGCCATGGAGGTGTGACCTACTCACACAGGGACACATCTGGAAGGAGAGGTGATGGAATACAATGTCAACTCTTCCAAGTGTCAGTAGTCTCGAACGATTGCCATAATGTCAACCGGAGCTTTTCCAGGGTAAGTGGTCATCGGTGATTTTGGTCTCTACTTCTATTTACTGTCTCATTTTCCTACAGTGAGCCTATGACTATACCATTAGGAAAGTTCAAGTTGTCGCTTTCAATTGGTGCTAAGTGATTCATCAAACTGGAGAGAAGGTATTTCCCGAGAGCTGCCAGAGGGGGGCGCTACCACAAACCAGGGATACATTCAGTGGCTGCTTTGAAAGCCTAGGAAGAGACCTGGAAACCTGGCTTTCCTCCTGCAAGCAGTGCCCCGTGGCTCCTGGGCACAGAGGGACCACATGGCTTTTGCACAGTTCCACATACAGCTCAGTCTGGACACATGTGCAAACATTTCGTGATGTCTCAGAGGAAGCTAGCCACGTATCAGGGAGCTGGTGTCTGAAGCAGGGCCAACCCCAGAGGCTGCTGAACAGACAGAGACAAAAGAACACTCTAGAAGGGACTCTTATTTATTTGGGAGCCGTCTCTGCCCCTTCAGGGCTAGAGAAGTCTGTCTCACTTTGAGGCTGCCTTTAGAAACCTCATCAAGGGGGTGGGACCGCCCCTGCTCTCCCAGCGTGTTGAGACCAACATACCTCTCTTTGCTGCTTCAGCTCTGCCCGTCTCTTCCGCTGTTTGCTGTTGGTTTTACAATGAATGAAATGGGGCTTGCAGTAAAATTTGCCTGTGAGAAGAGACATATGCACATATAGTTTTTCTCTGTAGACAGAACCATGGGAACAAATGCTCATCCCTGTCCAAGCAGAACACAGCAACCATGGAAATAAGCCCAGCCCAGACATGAGCAGGGGCTTATTTATACACCCGCCCTAACATGGCACCAAGAAAAGGCAGCTACACTCTGCTGCCTCCCTCAGAGAAGGTGCTGGCAATGGGGGACTCCCTGAGTGGGCCTAAAAACCCTCAGGTGACTCCTAACCCAAACAGAAGTTAGATTTCTTCACAGGCCCAGTTGTCAGGGAGAAAAATAGGTAGCTCCATGGACCAGCCCCTCAGTCCTTTCTGGAATCTTGAGGGTCAGTGCAGCTGGCCAGTGATGAGAGAAAAGACTTGGCAGGGTACGTGCTGGGTAAAACAGCCACTGCCCAGGACCACTGGGTACCCTCTAGGACAGCATTGCTGTCTGCTTCTATGATAACAACAATGATGGTGGTAATAGTGATGATGATGATGATGATGATGATGATGGTGATGATGATGATGGTGATGATGATGATGATGGTGATGATGATGATGATGATGGTGATGATGATGATGATGATGATGATGATGATGATGGTGATGATGATGATGATGATGGTGATGATGATGATGATGATGGTGATAATAGTGATGATGATGATGATGATGATGATGATGGTGATGATGATGATGATGATGGTGATGGGAAAACCTAATAAATACTTCATAGAACTTAGCTCATCAACGCCCACATCCTCATGAACTATGACCTATTATTTCTTTGTTTTGTTCTTTCGAGGCAGAGTCTCTATACTGTGGTGATATTGTGTTCCCCAAAATATTGTGCACCCTAATAAACTTATCTGGGGTCAGAGAACAGAACAGCCACTAGATACAGAGGCCAGAAAATGGTGGCACACACACCTTTAATCCTAGCACTCCTAAGGCAGAGATCCATCCGGATCTCTGTGAGTTTAAAGCCACAAGGGAAACAGCCAGGCATGGTGACTCATGCCTTGAATCCCAGGAAGTGAGCCTTTAATCCCAGGAAGTAATGGCAGAAAGCAGAAAGGTATATAAGGCGTGAAAACCAGGAACTAGGCTGGTTAAGCTTTTAGGCTTTTGAGCAGCAGAGTTCAGCTGAGAGCCATCCAGTCTGAGAAAACAGGATCAGCTGAGAAGTTGCTGAGGTGAGGTCAGCTGTAGTTTGTGTTCTGCTACTCTGATCTTCCAGCATTCACCCCAATACCTGGCTCCTGGGTTTGATTTTATTAAGAAGAACTTTTAAGATTCTTGCTACACTATACGTAGCCCAGGCTGGTCTGGAACTCAGAATCTTACTGACTCTGCCTCTAGAGTGCTGGGATCATTGATGTGCAGCATCCATACAGGTCCTATTATTTCATTTTGCAGATGAGGAAACTGAGGAACCAAGAATTTAAGTAACAGCCCCAAGGTTATGCAGTAAGTAGGTGCTACTGCCTGGGTTCACCCCAGGTAGGACAGCTTGAAGACACATAATCATAAGCACTGTGTCATTCTGTCCCACATTCAGTATGACACTGTAATATCAAAGGTTGACGAATTGAAAGTGATCTCTTTGTATAGTGAATGTAATTCTTGGCTGATGATCTCTTAGGCCACTTACCCAAAGAGGCGCTAATATTGAGGCCAGTTTTATAATTCATACTTTGTGTATGTTTATACAGGTATGTGTATGGGGGGTAGTTGTGTGTGGGGGTCAGAGCACAAGCTGAGCTATAGTTCTTCAGGCACTTTTACTTTGGCTTTCTGCTTCTGTTTTGAGACAGGATCGCTCACTGGCCTGGAACATACCAAGTAGCCTAGGCTGGCCAGCCAGAGAGTCCAAAGGATCCACCTGTGTGGTCTCTCCAGTGCTGGGGTTAAGAACATGCAACAGCACACACTGCTTCTCTTTTTTCTTTTTTCTATTTATTTATTTTGAGACAGAATCTCACTATGTATCTCAGGCTGGCCTGGAATTCACTATGTATCTCAGGCTGGCCTGAAATTCACTATGTATCTCAGACTGGCCTCAAACTCCAGAGACCAACCTGACTTTGCCTTTCCAGTGCTGGAACTACAGATATGCACCACGACATCTGGTCCCATTTAAACAAAACAAAACACAGGTTCAGGACTCAGGTCCTCATGGTTGCCAGACAGGCACTTAACTTCCTGAGCAGTCTCCCCAGCCCCACATACTGTATTAGTATGCCATCACTCATTAAGCTCTTACTACAGGCCAGGTATAACTGGAACAGTTCTGGGCATGTCGCACAGTTCATCGGGTTTGGTTATCTTGGCCTCACGGGTACCATGGGAAGCGGTGGGCTGAGTGAGATAAGTGAGGGCCCTGAGCAGACAGCAGGTGTCATTGTGTTTGGTACACTGTTGGTGCCAACGGCTTCTGCTCTGTACAGTGGGACCTTTCAGTTTCCCTAAGTAGCATTCCTGATGATATCATACTCCCTTGGTGGTAAGTGTTGGGGGCCCTCCAGCCTCCAGAGGGTTGGAATCCCAGAGCAAGGTCACATCTGAGACAGAGGCCAGAGACCAGTGTTCTCTTGCCCGCCAGGGTTACCTTCATCGCAGTCAAAGGCATAGGCAGCCAGGCGCAGGGTGGTGGTGCAGACGCTGCAGCGGAAGCACTCCCGGTGGAAAAAGTGACCCTCTGCACTCAGCCGCTCCATCACGTACACACGCTTCTTACAAAAGTAGCAGGTATCGCTGCCGCCCAGGCTCAGGGGAAATGTCTTTTTCACGGATTCCTAGGGCCAGGAGAAAAGAGCTAGGTGAATAAATCTTTAAAGGCCAGGCCTATGGATGTTGAAGTTCTTAATCAAACCGCAGCATCTTCAGGGCTCCTGGCCGCTGATTATGTCACTGCAGACAAGAGCATGGGGCAGGAAGCCACTCCCCACATAGCCTTCACCCTTGCAGGGGCTCTCCTCCAGGCTGTTCTAAATGAGTGGACATCTTGCTTGAATATGTCTACCTAGTGTTGGTTTCCTGTGGTCCGTCCTAGAGGATAAATGTCACTGGGTGACGAGTGATGATCAGCGTTACTTGTCAACTTGATGGAATCTAGTCTCACCTGGGAGATGAGGCTCTGGGTATACCTGTGGTGGATTACCTTGATTAGTTAACAGAGGAGGGAAGATCCACGCACTGTGAGTGGTACCACTCTCTGGCTAGGAGTTTGGACTGCAAAGACAGCAGCAGTAAGCCTCCAGTTATCCCTCTCTGCTTCGTGACTGTGGATGCAATGTGTCCACCTGCTTCAAGTTCCTTCTTGACTTCCTGCCATGATGGACCATGCCTTGAACTGTGAGTTAAATAAACTCTCTCCCCTGAGGTTATGTTTGTCAGGGTAGTCCATCACAGTAACAGGAAAAGAAACCAAGAGAGGGTGTGATATATGCCTTTGCCCCCTACAGTATAGGGATCAAGTGAAGACTGAGTGTGACCTCCGATCTATTCAAGAGAGTGCAGAAAAGGGGGGCCTGTGCCTTACAGTTCCCTCCACACTTGCAATGGGGAAGGGAAGGGCTGAAGCAGGCTGGTGCTGGGCAATTCCAGATCAGTGAGCCCAAAGGAGACCAGATCAACAATCAGGGCAGTGTTGCTGATGGCAGCATGCCACTTAGAGCGAGGAGGGAGAGAGCCAGAGGGGAGATGTGCTCGCCCTGCCAGCAAGTCTCAGTTCCCAGGTCTACTTAGGCTGGACACTAAATGCTGAAGGTGGGGGACTTGTCCAACAGCCCTGCAGGCCTGATACTGAATAGATCCTGAAAGCCACAGATAGCAAGGAGCATGTCTTGCCTGGAAAATGAACCACAAGGACCCAAGTAAAGTGAGTCTTTGAAGAAATGTAGCTTCCCTCAGTCTCTGCTGGATCCGGTCTACTTTCAGCACCCCCTTGTTCCCTGAGAAAGGGGTTCCTTTGGATCCTCCCATTCTCTTGTCCGGTGAGGCTGGGCAAATATCTTCAGGTGGAGGCTGACAGTGCATTTCCTTACCAGGTCTGGAGAGGTGGCCTGTGTCTTAGGTCTGTGATCATTCAAGTACAGATTGACCAGAACTTCAGCTGCAGCCCCTATTCCGCTGGACACTTTCCCTACTGTGAGCTAGCAGAGGTAAGGAAACAGAGCAGAGGTAAGGAAACAGACAAAGGAAAGGCGGTTAGAACCCAGCAGGGGCACAGGGCAAGGGAAGAGGGTTCCAGCCCACAGGAAAGCAGAACCCCAGAGTCTCCAGAGGTAAACCAGACCACCAGGAGTGGACCCCAGAGTTACAGAAATGGACAGAGGCAAGAGCCCCAAACTGGTGGTGGCAAGAGGAAAAAGTGCACATTTCTACTCCTATGAGCTATGCGACATTGTTCAGTCACAGAGATAGAGCCAGTCATGACACATGCCTGGAATTCCAAAACTCAGCAATCTGAAGCAGGAGGATTGTTGTGGATTTGAGTCCAGCATGAGTGACATAGTGAGATCTAGATCAGCCTGAACTATAGAATGAGATCCTGCCCCCAACTCAGAAAAACAAATAAACAAACCCCAAAACCAACAACAAAATCACAGTGGAATTACAGCCAGGGGGTGGGGAAGGGAGTTTGTATATAACGTGTCTGCGTTTTGTTTTCTAAGATACAAAGATCTGCATTTTCCTAAATGAGTGAACTAAGTCTAGGAGCTTGTTGCATGCCTTGGAACCCATCTAGAGAGAAGCTAGGTCTTAGTCCCGTCCCATGACCTGCTCAGCACAGCAGCCGGAAGACAGCCCTGGAGGGATGGCTACAGAGCAGCATCACTGAACAACAGCTCAAATAGTGGATGGAATAATCACACATCCAGGCCCAGCCAAGCTCCTCTAAGCCCCTTCCTCCCCAGCAGCTCTGACAGATCACACTGGGAAGCCTTTGTCTGCTCTGACAGGAGGTGAATAATGCATAGCCCAAGAGGCCAGAAGTACTGTTTGTGATCCCCAGACTCTTGAAGGAGGCTCCAAGGCCTTGCTGCCTTCCAAATTCAACCTCTGAGAGGCATGGCCAGACAGAACTAGCAAGCCATTTAGACTGCCAGGACCCTGGTACAAGTTGCCTCACGTAACACTGAGTCTTATGTGATAAAACAATGCCTTCCATCCAAATCCAAGACTGCTCCTGGGAGCCACGTCCAATGTGGTTAAGAGTGAGGCTTGAGAACAAAGCAGATCTAGGGAACTGCAACCAAGCATGGACCCCAGCTCCTGGAGCAGAGTCACCCCAGCATCCCAGACTAACTCTTCAGATCCCAGACAAAGCAGATATCATGGGGGTGAACAGAAAGGAAGCTGAGCAGGCAGGAGAGAAGGCCACAGAGACCCTCACACCTTTGGCTAGTCTAGAAGCTGTACCATTGAGCAAAGTTTGGTAGTCACTCCATATGAGGCGGGTTCTCGAGGCTGCTGGGGTAAGGGGTTCTGATCTCTCTAGTGTATGTTGGGGCTGCCTCAGCCTGTGCAAAGCCTCTGTGTCTTGACTTGTGAGCAGCAGCTGCCAGGCCAGGCACCCCCTAGCCCTGCCCCTGCCTGGTCTAGCTGGGAAAGATTAGAATTCTGCTTTGACACAACCTCTTCCTACTTTTAGGAACCTGGCTCCTCCTTCTAGGAAGGTTCAGGTGTATTGGTTCATGACAATAAGCCATTGCTTGTCTGATATTCCATCCCCTGGTGGCGCCCCAACTCTGCCTCTCATATAGAGGCTGTAGAACACAAGGTTTGCTTGAAAATAAAAAGGGGAAGGAGGCTAGCTTCTCCCAGGTACTGCCTTCCCAGCCTCCTATGATGTGAACTGGCTCCACATCACTCTCCCAGAAAGGAGATGAAGGGTGCCACAACACCCACGGGCAGTACCTGCCTCCTGATGGAGCCGAGATTCAGCCTGTACTGTCTGAGACGAGACACCCCAGTGTCTAATGAGACCTTATTAACTACTTAGCTAATAAGCACTTTATGCCACCGAACTTCTGAGCAATCCTGTCTTAGGGAGAAATCACTGAAGCTTGCAGAGGGCTGTGAGGGTGCTGGGGTGTCCCAAAATACACTGGGATAGTTACAGCCTGTTCAGCTGATCTAATCAGCTGTGCAAGTCACCTGGAAGCTGAGTGGGGAGTTGGGAGACAGTAATGTCCAAGATGAAGACCATACCCAGAGTTTCATTATGAGCCAACTAAGTCGGCAGTGGGTCTCTTAGCTGCTCTTCCCACCTGCTGGGAACCATCCCAGGTCACTGAGCCATAAATGGGATTTACAGAGGTTCATAAGGATGGAGACTTGCCCCAAGGGATGAGAGGGCTCTTGAAGCCTACTCAAGACCAGGGTGAAAGTGAGCATCCCTCTGAGGACTGGGAGTTATCTTCCCTCTAAAAGATTATTTTAGATTTATTTATTGTATTATATATGTGTGAGGGTTTGCCTGCATGGATGTACATGTACCATGTACGTGTCTGGTACCCTCAGAGGCCAGAAGAGGGCATCAGATCCCCTGGAATTGGAGTTACAGATGTTGTGAGCCACCAGGGTGTTGAGAACTGAACCCAGGTCCTCTGCAAGAACAATAAGTGCTCTTAACTGAGCCATCTATCCAGCTCGTTCTATTTCTTTTCTTTTTTTTTTTTGAGATCATTCTATTTCTTGATAGGAGGGCGACTCTCTTGGCTCTGTGAAAGGGAGGCTATAACCCAGTCTCTGCCTGGGGACCATGTTTTCATCAGCTGGAGAGTTACCAGGTGGCCTGTCTTCTGAGAAACGATGAAAGGCATAGCTCATGAAGAGACCTAGAGAAAGTTCATCCTGCGGTGACTACAGCATACGAGCTACACATTCTCAGCAAGAAGATTCACATACATTGAATGGCAAGCCACATGTGTTTGTGGGGGTAGGGCTGGATGAGGGGAACACTGGCGATTTGCCTGAGAAGAATTTATTTAAATGTGAAACTGGACAATCTGATGAGTTAACCAAAAAAACATTAAGAATTAGCAATTTTAGAATCCCCTGGGACTGGTTTTGCAGTTTTTTACATAACTTACAGTCTTATAATTTTCAAGAACTACATTTGGAAGTTTTTTCACTATTTGCTGTTCCTTTTGAATTCAAACTATTTTTCAGTGAATTCCTTAGAATGAGTTACAGAATGGTTGGTTATTTGGGGCAGGCCATCATCTCACACGACATTTGACTAACCTCACATATATTATTTCTCTGCTGTGAACCTTGGTTTCTCTACTGCCGAGTTTTCAGGGTTGTGGAAGCACCCTAGAAGACCCTGGGTAGGGGCTGGAGAGGTGACTTCGAGGTTAAGTGCATCTTAGTCTTTCAGAGGACCCGAGTTCAGTTCCCAGCACCCATATCAGGTGACTCACAACCACCTGTGACTTCAACTCCAAGAGGTCCATGCCTCTTTCGGCAGGTGCCCCCACACAGCATATGTTCATGTGGACATACACAGACAACTGACATAATAAGAACAAAAGACCTTGGGTGGAGTCCAACATAGTGCTGGGCACCCAGAGGTCCTCAGCAAGTAGCCTGTGAGACTAGGGCACTATCATGCATATAGTTTTAAGTTCTGGTTTTTAGACTCTCTCTTTTCTGCACAAACAGTGGTGTGGCTTTGTCTTCCCTGAGACACTCTCAATTCAAGCATACTAACACAGATATTGTCACAAGCATCAATGCCAAAGGCTGCAGGGGTGACTAGCCTTCTACCAAGAGACAGTCCTCACACAGCCTTGTGACCCCCTCCAGCTCAGGTCTCCAGATGTAGGAGTCTTTCTCACACTGGACTGGCCTGGTTCAGCTACTCCCCAAGTCTGCATCCCTGATGTCAGTGGTCCTGACAGTTAGCCATCTCTCTACCTCTGGCAGAGCAGATATGATGCTCTCAATGGAGGAGGATGCAGGCTGCTGGGCCCCTTGACTCAAAACAGTGGGACTTCTCCACCTTGGGTACCAGAACTCAGTTCACATAGCAAGTATCCAGGCAGTGCTATTCTGCAGAGCTGAGTCATCTGTGGCCAGCTAGCTTGTTTTGAGCATCAAGCCAGCCCACACAAGACAGTCAGGGAGGAAGAATCAAGCTTCCAGGGATTTGGAGCTGAGGGTTTGTGGGAAGGGGAAGATTCAGTCAGGAGAGCCAGAGTGGTCTTTTGGATCTTGGGGGTCAAGGATATCTCCCACTGAGGAGCCCCTAGATAAGAAAACCACAGAGAACAGACCTTTGGACCTGGTTCCTCATCTCTGCCCAAGGCAAGGGGAGAACAAGGGACAAACACTGTGTTCTTTAAGGATATTGGAAATGACATGCTCGAGCTGAGATGAGGCAAGCCTTGAGGGCTATGAGCTCCCGTGGGGGAGTCTTCATCTGCCAAATTTTACCTGTGGTGACAGGCACGCAAAGTTGATCATATGCATTTAACCCGCTGGGTCTGAAATCCCTTTGGACTCTAAATTAGCCAGGATGGTGTTTGTTCTTAAGTGACTATGATAGAAAATGGAAACCCTTTAAAACATTTCCTTAAAAGGATTGCTGTTTTAGAGATATGTGTTTTAGGTAAATGAGCTTTCTTCCAGATGTTTCTTCTATTGGGAAAAGGAACATTTACTCAACATTTCAGGCATTTTGCATATGTTGGATCACTGCAATGTTCTAATCACCCCAAGGAGTAGCTGATACACCTCCTGCTTATAGGCTAGGAAACTAAGGCTCAGAGAGGCCCACTGCATTGTCCAAAGTCACACAGCGAGTGAGTGGTGCTTTAAATTCAAGTCTGGTTCTAAGCTCAGATTCTTCTACTTAACAACATCCTACTTCTCCAATACATACCAGCACTGGTGTATTCAAATACCCCTTGACTGGGATGTGCACTGGAGACCTTCACATGCTGCCTAGCCCTATCCTGGGACAGAGGGAAGATGCTAAGGATGGCGGGGGCCTTGAGGTCTATCCTAGCAAGGGATAATTCAAGACAGGTTGCCCAGCCAAAACATGCCCACTGATGGTATCTCCTTCTAATACATAAATCCCAGAGTAAATCCTGCAAGTCTGGTCTTAACACAAACACCCCGAGGGGTAGAGGAAGCTCCTCTTGCGGGACTCCTTGCTCTTCAGGCTCTGTCAGCTAGCTAAGCCAGAGCAAAGCAATCCTTGGCCCAGCTGTGCAATCATTCACCACCATCTTGTTCTTGTAAGAGCTCAATAACCTTGGCAAATGTCAGCAGCCAAACTGTGGACCAAATTGACATGGCTTCCCCTTTTCAAAGGAAAAAAAAAAAAGAATGGGTGATAGGGATTTGATAAGACAAATGAGAAAATAGAGCTATTCATAAGATTGGGCATGGAACCCATAGTCCAAGGTTTTGATGCTGGGTGTACAAAAGAGGGCCTCAGGACTGATTATTCAGACAAAACCCCATAGGACCTATCTGAACTTCAAAGCATCATTTGAGAAGGTAGACATGGACGGAAAGCAGAGCCTTGGGCACATCTCTTGGGGTTGATGACTCATGTTTGCGTCCCTGTGGGTAATATGTGACCCTCAGAATAAGTTTGGCCAAATCTGCTCCCCTCACAAAGTGACCAATCCTGGACTCTCAGAGTTGGGGTCCAAGACCCCAAGGCAGGATCAGAGCATGCTACCTGATAGGAAGCTAAGGCTAACTGCCAGATGTTTTTCTTCCTTGCGCTTCTGTGAATTGTAGCAGCCTCATACTGGGCAATCAGAGTACTTCCTCATCTGATGGGAAGAAGCATCCAGCTCCAGGTTTTCTTCTTGGAAGAGATGGCCTGAGCTCCATCAGGATGGAATAAAACTGTCTATCAACAGGTCGGCATCTGCTGTAAGGGGCAACCAGGTCCATCCTTGGGGAGGTAAGGATGATGGTAGACTTTGTACATGCAAAGCCTGGTGCTGACTTAAGGATGAGGAGTTGGGAGGGAGGGAAAGGTTGGGTAGGTGCAAGGCTGGGAAGACTGTCCAAGAGGCTTGCACCCGAACTCTCACAACCCCATCCCCAGCTGCCTGCCATGAACCCATAGTGAGAGTGGCAGGGGTCTTTGAGTGTGGGCACTGAGGAAAAACTGAAGCATAGAGAGATTCACAGACTTACCCACCATGCCACGGTGGCTGCTAAGAGCTTCCAGATTATCCCAGCCACATTTGAAAGACACATTGGCCTGTAACTAACAAGCTGGAAGCTGTTAAAATGTCCTAATTATACAGCCATCTTGTGACCGAAGTTGGCCTGGGAGATGGAAAGGCTCTGCCCACAGAGTATCAAGCCCACAGAAACAAGGAACAAAGCTAAAGAAGTAGGGCCATCTCCAAGCCAATCCCATTCAGCCTGTCCCCAGGTATGGGGCTTCCCATGCATACAACTTGTGGACTGGTGCCTCTGCCAGGGCTCTATCTATCTGGTTCAGAGAGACCACTGAACCTCAGATTGAGAGCTATGGACCCCAAGATTCTTCTTGAACCTTTGTCTTCTTATTGACTCTGCCCTTGCTCAGTTCTCACAGTCACAGGATGGCCCTTCTTGCTCATCCCACTTTATAGTGCTCCTTGCTATCAGCACCCCAGGCTTCTACTAATGCTTCAAATCTTCCATAGTGATTATCATACGTTACGTATGTATGTATGTATGTATGTATGTATGTATGTATGTATGTATGTATAATGGGAATAGAACTCCCAGTTACAAAGCAGGGGGCAACTTGGAACTTTTTGCTAAGACAACAGCATGAAGCTGGGTGTGCACCAGCTCAATAACACAGAAGCAAAACAGGAGTCCTTCAGACGGGACACTCAGCCCTCCTTGCTGACCTCTGCAGGAGCCTGGCTAACAGATTGTTCGAGCACAGTTTGGCTGGGGACTCACTCATCCTGGAGGTTAAAAATGTGCTGCAGATCCAAACTAATTCTTGTTCACAGAACACTTCACTATCCACTGAATCGTAGCTCATTCCTTGCCTCTCTTCCTCCAAGCTAACTTCTGTACTGCCATCCAAATCATCCTTCAAGAACGCAGGGTAGCCCAGTGAGAGGATGAAACTCCTTAACACGCCGACCATGCTGTGTGCTGTTCTCACTCTCTGTACACCCTTACACACCGCCATCCCAGAGCCAGGTGACACCAGCCATTCTGACCTCTCATTTCATGTCAGTCCTGTCTGCCTACCTTTACACATGTTGATCACTCTCTACCACACCCTAGCTCTCTGTCTAGAAAACTGTTCCTGTGGAATCTTCTACACAGGTCTCCTATCACTGCCTCTGAACCCTCTCCAGGCTTCTTTCTGTTCTTATAATCTTGCCCATTATACATCTCACAAAATTCACAAATAGCACTGTATTAAGTGTACTGTGTGAAATTGCCATTTGCTTAGGTCAGGCACACCAAATTTCAGCAACTCCACATATTAAATGTGTGACTATTCTTATGATGGGGTGGTGTTTCCATCCACATTGTAATAAGGGGTCCAAAGCTTCCCCTTTATTTTCTCAGTATCTGGGCAGGGCTCAGCATCCGGGTCCCCGATGAATGCTTTCTGTGTGAGTGACACCAGGAGCACAGGCTGGAGCTGTTCTGCTAGACACATGCACTAACACAAACCCCAAACCGGATCTAGGACTGTTGTACAATATCTAACAGACTTTCATCCAGCCAAGCCTGGCTCCAGATGTTTGGCTGTGCCGGCCAAATGGAGCCTGAGAACATCCCAGAACATGCAGGGGGTGGAGGAGGCAATGATTCAGGAACGACTACCTTTCTGGCAGGAGAAACAGAGTCGGCAGCTGGTGGAGAGGAAGGAGCAGCTGGATCAGGAGACGGAAGGCAAGAGGGAGGAGATGGAGGATGAGTGTGAGGCAGACGTTTAGACAGGAGTTTATCCTGCATGGAACAGAGACAGGAAAGAAAGCAGGATTACAGCTGTGACATGTGTAGTGATCGTGCCTTTAATATACCCACGGAGGAGCAGACACTGAGGCCCATCTCTCAGGATGACACAGAAGTGCATCTTTGGAGCCAAGTGGGATTACGTGGCTCCTGGCTGCACTGCATTCTGCTACAGTTCCAGCTCCCTGAAATACCCTGAGGAGACCCATTCTGCTCCTGCCTGGAGCTGCCTCAGACTGCAGTGCTCATAGGACACCCTTATAGAAGAGTTTGGTGTGAGGGAGCAGCTGCAGCCTCAGAGCGGAGAACTCTGAGCCAATGGGGGCAGCCCGCCACAGCTGGGGTTTCCACAGCTGTCGGCACACACTTGCGCTAGCCTCCTGGAGGCTGCTAAAACTCTGGCAATGAACTCTATGCAGAATATCCCTCCTCTGTGCATGACTCCACTGACAGCTGGAGACACAGGAGGAGGCTGAGTGAAGGTGGCTGAGTTGTGTTCTAGAGACAGCTTGCTGAAGGAGGAGGATTTCACAAGTATACCCCCACCCCCACCTCCTGGCCTTCACTATTACTTCACTATTACTCTCAGTTCCTGCTCTGCAAAGACCAACTCTCCTTTTTCTACCAGTTTCTGAGTATGTAGGTGGTCTGGAGGAAGCTCTACTTCCCATGCTAAGGCAAAGTTTCTTGCATTAGCTTAGCATGGCTGCTTTGAGAGTCAGAGCTGAAGAGGCATACCTCCTTGACTGGGGGTGGTGGTGAGGGCAATGGGCTGTAACAGCACAAGCAATTGGCTTGCTTTCTCCTTTAAGGCACCCAGAGCCTTGAGGTTGACCAGTAGTCCTTTTTTTTCCCTCCCAGGAAGCTCCAAGTCTACTTAGAAACTAAGCATACATGTATCCAAGCTATGGTCCACAGTCCACATGCATCCCAGGATAACTGTAAATGTGACCAAGCACATTTGTGGATGACAGCATCACATCCCAAAGTTACCCTTGACTAGGTTGTTTCATTTGATTTAATGTTACTTGGTATGAACTCAGGGTTTCAGTGTGCAGTCCTGGCTGCCCTGGAACTCACTACATACACCAGACTGGCCTCAAGTTCACAGGATCTACCTGCCTCTGCCTCTGCTATGCTGGAATTAAAGGCTTGAGCCACCACACTCAGCCCAACTAGGGTCTTCAAGGCCCTGTTTTTGCTGAGTGTGTGTGGGGGTTCTTTTCACTTGAGCTTACTTTCCTGCCTCTATTTCCCCTGTCATCATGTGTCTACTCTCTCAAAACTATGCATCTGGGTCTCTTAGACTCAAGCTCAAACTTATCAGTGGTGTAAAACGTGAATTGCTTCTTGTACTATAGAAAAGGAAGGAGAGAGAACTGGGCTTCCGGGGCTGGTTCATGGCTACCTGACTAGACCTCCAGCCCTGGTTCCTGGAGACTCCGAAAGCCCCTGGTTTACCTGTGGTAAATCCCCGTGTCCAAACATGGAGGCCAGGTGAGCTGCCTTCTCTTTAATGTTCTTTTTGTGAAATTCCCTGTTAGCCAAGTTCTGGGCCCTCTTCTGCAGTCAAGGTGAGAGAGGAGAAAGAGGGTGACAGTGGCCATGAGGGTCACCTCAAGGGAGAAGGGAAGGAGTGGGCCAGGTTTGTCTCCTCACACACAGCAGACAGAAGATAGGGAGGGAACCAGAGGAGAAGGGACCCGCTCTGGGTGGATGAGGAGCAGGTAGGACAGGACATGGACACAGGTAGGCAGAGAGGGCGGTCACCTGAAGGACCTTTTCTTCTACTTGCTGCAGTCGCCTCAGCACCCCGGACAGGGCCAGTGCCCCTTGGCAGGTGGGAGGCAGGGTGGCGAGATTTTCAGCCCCGCCCAGTTGCAGGTCTGACTTGGCCCTGGCTCTCCAGGGTCTGCTTGGGCACTCGCCACTAGCAGGTACTTGATTGAGTTCTCTGAGTACCTGTCCTGTCGCCACCACGGAGGAGAACTGGGAGAGAGGGAGAAGTCAGCTTCTTTCCCTTTACAGGCCCCACCCCCATGAGGACCGGAGATAGAGGGTACAGCAGCAGATGCCACTTGAGAAAGGTCACAGACTAGGCGGGGTGGAGAAGGAACTTCTGCATCTGTACTGGTGTCCGGAGTACTCAGTCCTGGCTTGCCTAAGAGCCCTCCAGTCAAACCTCCACAACCCTGGTCCCTATGCATATCTCTATTCTGAGATTGCCTAGGACACCTTAAGGAGGGTCTGACCCATTAGGGAATGTGATTGACCTGAGTATGCAGGAGACACGGGTATACCTTAAACGCCTCCTCGTGAGACTGGTATGCACACGGACACACAGTTGCTGCATCCGACCTGCACCTACTGCTGTCCACCTCTGGTACCCAACATACAACACCCAATGCTGACCAGATGACCCTGGAATTTGTGGACACTCATCCTGACTCTGTCCAGATTCCAAGCCAGGGATGGGATAAGCCACAGTCTCACCATGCAGGCTCTGGCTGGTCTGACATCTGGAAATGCCTTTACCATGCCTCAGCCTCACTCTTTCAGTGGGTATAGCCACAAGCCCCCACCCCCACCCCTGAGCCCATTCTACCATTGCTTTTTCAATAACTTGGAAATCAGCTTATTCACTAGCCCCTCTATAAAGCATAGCATGGGAATTCTCCAAAGTGGCCACATGGAGTTGTTTACTTTTCCCTCAAGTGTGTGCATGGTTGGCTGGGTAACACCTGTGATGGGCTGAGGGACCAGTGGCATGGACTTCAGGTGCTGTCTATGTAGTCGTTCTTATCCATAAGGATAGTGACCTTGGACTGTGTCCGCATGGACAGGGACTCTACAATCAGCCACATATCGGGGCTGGAGGGAGCCATGGATCCCACCCTTTGGTTCAAAGTTCCCTCCCTCTGGCTTTACCAAATAGTATCCACTGGAAAGAGCCCTACCTGCCTTTTCAGAGGAGGTGGAAGCTTGGGAGTTGACTCCTCCAGCTTGGGGCAGCAAGAGGTACCAGGAGGGCGAGAGGTAGAGCACAAGACAGGCTTACCTGTGCCTGAGAGCCGGCGGCAGTCCTGGGAGGAGAGAGGCAGTCCAGAGAAGCAGCCCCAGGAGACAGGAAAGAAAAGGCCAGTAAGAAAGGCATGTGGAGTGGGCAGAGGCACAGCAAGGGCTAGGAGACGCCACCATGTGGAGGAGCAGAGATGGTGTTGGCTAGGTTCCTGCAAGCCTGTCCCAGCTTGGAAACTGGATCCCTGGCTCTACAAGCATGTCGATGGACAAGTCTGCTCTGGGACAACGTGTGAATCCCACAGGCCTTGCTTTTGGCTCAAACACAGGGCTCTGGGCCATCAATGCCAGCCTACACCAGGCTAGGGTGGCCAGCACAGTCCTTCTGGAAACAGAGACCTTCTTGCCCACTCCAGGACAGAGATGTCCAGACCAAATGAACAGAGCCAGGTGTCCAGAAAGGACTGTGGAAACTGTTTAGACAAAGACAGGACTCAAGAAAATTGCCCTTTTGTAAAAAAAAAAAATCCACTTCCTAGGGAAGGTTAGTTATTCAGAAGAGGTGTGGCTAACCCCAAGACCAAGGAGTCATTCATGTTTGCCTCTAAAGTTAAAGAGACTGGACACTCCCACCTCCCCGCTCCCCTCTGCCAAATGAGCTCAATTTTGTCATGGGACCAGTGTTCACCATAGACAAAGGGAATCTGACCCCCAGAGTTTTGTAATATGGCAATGTATCATAGCAGGACAACATCCATCCAAATGCAGTGAAGAGGAACCAAGGTAAGATCACAGACTCCGTGAGGCAGAGGACTCTGCAGCCCGAACCACAGCAGCCAGCCTGCCCTGGTCAAACACAGCCACCCTGCAGGGCCTGGCTGGTGTGGGGAGAGGAGAGGCACCAGGGAACACTGAGGAAGTCGGTTAAGACCTTGCAGTTATCTGAGTCAGCACCTCTGGTCAGGACGCATCATCTCACCATGGACGTGGGCAGGATTCTCCCACACGGCCTCTCAACTTGAGTTGTCCCATCTCAGACTGGCTACAAATCATGATTTGAGTGCAAAACCAAATTAGGAAATGGATTTAATTACTGTAAGATGGATACTAGCAAACTGTGACTCACAGGCCTAATCCAGGGGCCTGTTTCTGTAAACAGGTTTTTACTGGAATGCTATCACCCTTATTTGTTGAGGGATCCAGTATGGAGGCCTAAATGTTCTAACAGGACAGTATGACTCCAAAGTAGAAATGAGTTACTATCTGACCCCATGGAAAAGTCTGCTATTGCATAACCAGGAGGCTGAAGTTTTTTGTTTTTTTGTTGTTTTTTTTTTGATCAGACCTAGGTGGTGAACTTTAGCCCATCTCTGCCAGCCCAGCAGGGTTCTGCCACTGGTAGAGTAGGTCCAGTGACCATATGATAGCCTTACCTGTTTCAGGGCTGCAGAGTTCCGTGTGTTCTCCTCAAACTTGGCTAGCAGCTGGTTGGCCATGGACTTGACTTTGTTCTGATTGCCGCCTTCTCTAGCGCAGTCTTGACTGGAGCCCAAGCTACGGCTGGAGAAGGCCGGCAGCTGAAAAGATAAAATCAGCACACTGGAATACAAGATCCTCAGGACGCAGGGCCCTCAGTGGCTTGAGGGAGTGAGTGCAGGCAACAGGGTTGGCCTCAATTCATGTGTCTAAAGAATGGCCACATGGCTTGGGAACCCGGCAGTTGGAGTCTGAAGTCTTTCTCCTCTCAGCCCTGGACCTAGGCGATTCATGTCTTTGAATTTGCCCCATCTACAAATTGGGAGGAGTGTCTTACTTCAAGAGGTTATTGCAAAAAACAAAGCAAAACAAAACAAAAACCAGTTCTAATAGAGAAGTGTTACATAAAGTAGTTTCCAAAATACATAATTTTGGCTGAAAAGTAAACAGAGAGTGTGTGAGGGGAGTTGGGCTATCCTAAGCACAGGCTGTAGGCTTTTTGCTCCTCTGTATTCCCTTTCCCAACTTCGCCCACAACTCCAATCTCTAAAGAAAAAATAATTCAGAAATAGTGTTAGATTTACACAGAAGGTACAAAGAAGTATGGCTTGCTCTCGAGTACGCTTCCCCCAGCCACTTTGATGTAGCTTCAGGAATTATCACAGCACTGTTATCAAAGCCAGGGAACGGACGCTGGCATAATACTGCGAACTGGACCAGGGGCTCTGTTTGGATTGCATCAGTTTTTCCGTTTCCACCCTCTTCTGTTCCAGGCTCCCATCCAGGATCCCACACATTTATTCATCCCGTCTCCTTAGTCTCCTCCAATCCCTGGCAATTTCGCTATCTTCCTTGGCTCTGACTCTTCTGAAGGGCACTTGGCAGCTGTTTTACAAAAAGACCTCAGTCTGTGTTGGTCTGATGTGCTCTCACAATTAACCTGGGACCGGAGGTTCTAGGGATTCAGGGCACAGGGACGAAGAGCCCTTCACATCCATCCTGTTGGGATGCATGATGGTAACAAGACTTATGAGGGGTGATAGGAAGCTTGGTTATGATGGTTTATAAAACTGAGTTCCATCTCATTCATCTACTAACTAATAAAATTTGAAAATTTCTAGAATTTCCTAACGTCTTTTCCTGTTCCATGGCATCTTCTCTCATACATCTCAGATCATACAGAGGGGTACTGTGCCAAGTGGGTGGTCAAGCCACTGAAGGAAACAATGAGTCTTCCCCACAGGAACTGCTTTCTTGACATGGGAAAGATGTGTTCATTCAGAAGAGATGCGTGGGAAGACACAAGCTAAAATTAACTGTTTTTTAAAATAAGATCCCAAAGAGAAGAAGCCCCGGGGAGGGGGCTGTGTACGCACAGTGTAGTCAAATGCTGGACAAGCACACAATGGAGAGCCACTCCCTGCTTTAGCAGATGAAGTGTGGCTTGCACATGGACACACGCTCAAGGGGAGGATGAAATCTACTGAGTGAATGCTGTTTGCACAAAATCAAAGTGGGCGAGAACAGCGGGCCACACCAATGCACTAATCAACTCTGATCCCTTTTCCAAACCAGACTTGATTCATGGAGTCAGGGCACCAGCGTGTGCATTTCTCTTTCATTTTCATTTTTTAAACATGTGTGTGTGTGTGTGTGTGTGTGTGTGTGTGTGTGTGTGTGTGTGTGTGTGTGAGAGAGAGAGAGAGAGAGAGAGAGAGAGAGAGAGAGAGAGAGAGAGAGAGAGAGATGCACATGGGTGTCTGTGGAGGCCAGAAGAGGGCATTGGATTTCCCCAGAGCTGCAGTTTTAGGCAGGTAAGAGCTACCTGATGTGGGTGCTGGGAACTGAACTCGGGTCCTCTGGAACAGCAATGAGCCTGCTTAACTGCTCAAACATTACTCCAGCCCCTGAGTAATCAAGCCACAGTTCTTGATGGGATCAACCCCAGAGCTCTGGAAACGCTTCAGATGAGGGTAGTGAGCATATTCACATTGTAAGATGTGACATGAACTCCAGATTTTCTTTTATCAGAAAATATGGTAAATGGTGGGCAGCTGCACTCTATCATGGTGGGCTCCTGGCTTGATTGACAGCTCACTGATGGGAGGTGGAACAAGTCTAAGGCATGAACAATAATGTTTTACAAACTACAGCAATAAAGTCTCTTCAACCACACAGAAGATGCAGTAAGTCTCTTATAAGTCCTGGGAACAAGAACCAATATAGTTTATCAATGATCCCATGTGCCTCTGAGTCATCTTTGACATCAGCCTGTAGCCTAGCTAAAACTGGCATCCACACATCATTAGCATATGCATGCTTCCTTTTGCAGAATTAGGGTGGCTTTGAAAAATGAAGTACAGGGCTGGGGAGATGGCTTAGCTGGTAAAGTGATTGGCATACAAAACATGAAGACCTGAACTCAGGTCCCCCAATAACCCAAATAAAAAGCTGGGTGCAGTGGAATGTGTCCATAGCCCTGGCAGTGGGAAGTGGAGGTAGGCTGATCCCTGAGGCTCACTGGCCATCTAGTCCAGCCTAATAGATGAGCTATCATTTCAGTGTGAGACCCTGTCCCAAAAAATAAGGTGGAGTGCAAACAAGAAAGATGCTTGACACCAGTCTCTGACCTTCACAGGCATATAAGGTGCATGATTACCCTCCAGCATGTACACACACTCACAGGCATACAAGGTGTATGATTACCCTCCAGCATGTATACACACTCACAGGCATACAAGGTGCATGATTACCCTCCAGCATGTATACACACTCACAGGCATACAAGGTGCATGATTACCCTCCAGCATGTACACACACTCACAGGCATACAAGGTGCATGATTACCCTCCAGCATGTACACACACTCACAGGCATACAAGCTGTATGATTACCCTCCAGCATGTACACACTCATGCACAAGTAAAATGAAATGAGATGCATATCTTATGTCTCTTTAAATTGTTTCACTAAAGTAGACTGCACGCCCTCCTTCTGCTCAAATTTGCAGAGGCAGGTTCTAGACTTGGACACTATCTCCTACAATTTTCTCCCTTTACCAGAGGGTGGCACTCACGGGCACTCAACATTTTTCTTAAAGACTCCAAGTACCGAAGAAAAAAAGCAGCAGCAAGTGAAGAGAGCAGGCCTGCTGGTGTCTCTTTCCTGCTTTCTATAATTAGTAACTCCATATTAATTAACCATGCTATCTATGTCATCCTATTGATCTAAGAACCCTTCGAAGCTCAAACATTTTGGATGTATTGGCACATTTGAGAGCCATAGCCCTTACCCCAGGGAGGTTTCATCCTGCAAGGTTATACAGCTAGGAAGTAGGAAAGTGATCAAACTGAGCCTGGATCCCAGTGGTTCATGAGAGAAACAACAAAATGGGACCAGGACTAGAGACATAGCTAAGCACACCCCAAAGCCTCAGGACATGGGTTTTATAACAACTGAGCCCAGGCATACATTCTTTTTTTTTTGATGTTTTGAGACAGGGTTTCTCTGTGTAGTTTTGGTGCCTGTCCTGGATCTCGCTCTGCAGACCAGGCTGGCCTCGAACTCACAGAGATCCGCCTGGCTCTGCCTCCCGAGTGCTGGGATTAAAGGCGTGCGCCACCACCGCCCGGCTGCATACATACCTCTTCCAGGTTGTTGAAGCCCTGTCGTCTCCTCTTATTCATGTCGTTCTCTTCAGTCTGGGTGTCTACCTGCAATGGTCAAGGAAACACGGTGAGCTCAGGGCCACGGACACTGTTGGAACTGGAAGCACAGAATGATGCATGCTTGTCTGGACACCACTGTCAGCCGAACGGTAGACATGGGAATAGACGGCCCTGCACGTAAGTGCTGCCATGGAGTTACAGCCAAGCATAGTGGAGCATGCTTCTACTTTATCTCAGAAATCCTGTCACACAAGCAGGGCACGCATCATTTCTATTACAGTGGCTGTGGGCTTGGAGGGGGTTAATCATGTGCCTGAGGTCAGAGCCTGGCCTGGGGGTGCCCTCTGTGTTTGCTGCCTTATGGGAGGGAACTCCCTGACTGTCTTTGTTCCTTGGGCCTCCCATGAAGAGGTGGGACAGGTTCACCCTGCAGAGAGCATTCTCAGGACTTGAGTGAGCTGTTCAGGGCTTTGGTGTCAAATTAAGCCTGCAATTCAGGTACCATAAATAAGATTTAACTCATTTCAAATAAACATTAGCTCCAACCTGAGGACTAGAGATTGAATGTCCAGCTTGCCAGGGATGGTTCAGATTTACTGATTCCCTCATTCACTATAACTTTTAATAGACACATTCCCTTTCATAGTGTATTACCCAGCTATCCTGATAACCCCTCATAGTTCATCCCCCGCTGACCGAATCTGAACAATCTACCAAGGCCTATCAGGCTGGCCTAGGCAGATGAGGAGGGGTATAAATACTGAGCTGTCACCATGGCCTGGGGTGGGGGAGGAGGCAGAGTGCTATATCTTCTCCACATGTATCTTGAGCCCAGATTAGGTCTATTTCCTAAGGACAGACATCTTAACTACCAACTTCCAGTGTTTTGGACCTTCTCCTAACAGTTATCTCCTGTTGGAGTCTGGAGTCACATCCCACAGAGCATGTATCCCATCTGCATGGACTCTCCTATACTCTGACTTCCTCCATGGCAGGTCCACATCACATTCCAGCCTTTCAGACATCATAAATGCAGGAAGAGGTGCCACAGACTCACTGTAAACCCAGGCATAACACCCATCCAGGCCCAAACATAGTGCTGCCTAGCCCCAGAAGGGTCCTTTCATGCCTGGATACTCTGAAACAGCTGTCTTGGAACCACAGCACAGAGTCTACTGCGCATCACTTGAGTCCAATAAACACCCTCATACATACACACACTCATACTACAAACACCACATACACACAACACATACACTACACACACACACACACACACACACAGAGCTGCCATGTTCACCAATCCCATTAAAAGAAAGACCAACAACAGTTTAGTCCTGGATATTTGTTTGAAAATTTGTATTTTTTTTAAAGGTTTATTATGTATACAGTGTTCTGTCAGCATGCTAGAAGAGGGCGCCAGATATCATTACAGATGGAATTGAACTCATGACCTCTAGAAGAGCAGCTAGTGCTCTTAACCATTGAGCCATCTCTCCAGCCCTTACCGAATCTTTTTTTTTTTTTTTTTTTTTTTTTTTTCTGGAGCTGAGGCCTGAACCCAGGGCCTTGTGCTTGCTAGGCAAGCACTCTACCACTGAGCTAAATCCCCAATTCCTTGTTTGAAAATTTGACCAAGACACCATAAAAGAGCAGATCAAAGGGCCCTGCCTGCCTTCAACATCTCCTTCAGCTTCTCATACATCACTGTTTTCTGAATGGAAATAATCCCAGTCTAAATGCTGGACAGACACCAAGAGAAACAGATGACCTTATTTCCAACAATGTTGGGTTTTAGAGGCACCAACTGTTTGGGCTCCCAGTTCCACTGACTGTGAATGCCACTTAGGCCCAGAGACCAGAGCTGTGAAAGTACAGAATGTCCCATCAACAAGAAAGCTTCGTGCATAATCTGAGGGCTCTCTTTGTGCTTTTGTTTCCACTTTCAATGAGGACTTGGCTTTTCTCACAAAGAGCAATACATCCTACTCTTTCCCTTATACTTGACAGCCTAGGGTGGGACCGTTCAAACAACTGGAGCCTGGCTAGCTAGACCCCATTCGGACATGTGACTTAAGGGCTCACAAAATGCACTCCAGGGTGGTGGGCCCAGTCAGCAGCTCCTAAGAAGATCCTAAATCCTGGGAGAATAAATGCAGTACAAGGGGGCAACCTTTGCATCTTAGATGCCTCCACGGTGACCCTGGGAAATAAAATGCGTTTACATGGAAAGGTTAGCCATGCACACACATCCAAACCATGTTTACTTTCCCCAGTGAAAAGTACTATTGAGATTCAGGTCAAAACAAAAGTCTAAGAAAATGAAAATGTAGAGATTTATTTATTTATTTTTCTCATTGGAAGCCAAATATTGACCCAAGACCTTAACCCACAGCCATTTTCTTGAGTAGCAACTGGTAAGTTGCTATGCACCACTAAATAACCCCCACCTATGCTCATGCAAGTGAGCCTAGTAAAACTCAGTGGGACATGGACACAGACACACATACATGAAAGTCCGAGGGGGACTGGTAGGGAGAAGAGAGACTTCTGTGGGAATGGGGGTGATAAAAATATATTACATACATGTATGAGATTGTTAAAACATAAATGAAAATACATTTCACAAGAAGGCTCTAATCACTCTGGACTTTATTATACTTGACAAAGAACCAGAAGCATAAGGATAAACCAAATATTTCTCATGGCCAGGCTGAGGGAACACAGAATAAACAAATGGCTTACGTTCTCTTCCTATGAACGTTTCCAGCTCTTTCACCCTAGGAACATTTTCTTATCATGATTTTCCAAGGATTTGAAAGAGTTGATATGCCAAAAGCCATTTATTAAACTAAATGGTTTCCCTCTTTATAAAACAACCAATGCCACACATCGCTAGTCTGATAATTAATCTGACTAGCTGAAGACAGCCATGTCCCCACACATCCTGAGCTGTTTTGGCTCAATGCAAACAACATTTATATTTAGTTATCTGGTCTAGCCTAACCCTGGAGGAATTTAGATCTGGTTGGGTTGGTTATCAGCTTTGATATTTAAAAAGATGGCCAGTGACACTGGCAGACAAGCTCTTTCTTCAAGGAATCACAGGTTCAGGTGCTAGGCTGTGGCTAGTGACGTTCAGAAAATCACCTAGCTACTTTGACTTCATTGTCCTCACATATAGGAAAGAGTCTAACACCATCGACTCATAAGCTTGGAATCACAGAATGTTAAACACTTCTTAAACTGAACATTGCTGTACAAGTGTTAATGCTATAGTAACAGAATTTTAAACATCTGAATTCTAGTTCTTACTTTGATAATACCTGTATAACTTATTAAAATTTAACATCTCCAAGTCGAAGTTTCCCTACCCACTACATTGCAAGGACACTATGTTCCCATCCTTTCTCCAAAGGATGTATGTATGGGTGGGTGGTTAGGTAGGTAGGTGATGGATAGATTGGTGGTGGGTGGATAGATAGGTGGGTGGGTGGGTGAATGGACTGATGGATAGATAAATGGATGGATGGATGGAAGGATAGATAGGTAGATGGGTGGGAGGGTGAACGGACTGATGGGTAGATATATGGATGGATGGATGGATGGGTGAATGGACTGCTGTATAGACAGAAGGGTAGATGGATAGGTGGCAATCAGGCTAGATAAATAGAAGAGGCACTTTTTAAAAACACCTTTGTCTCTCTGAAAAAGTATCTGTGCAGAAAGCTCAAGGTTCAGTGGGCTCTAGAGCAGCATCTGGACCACTCTGACCACACACAGAAGAGTCATGCTGTGCAACTCCATCTCTTCCAGGAACCAGTGCTGGTAGTGCAGGAGCTAGCCAGCTGAACTTTGGCATGGGCATTCGACAGTAGGTGATGGATTTATGTATTGTCTCGCAAGAAATGAGCTCAAGAGGAGACAAATCCCAGGTACCTTCATGTGCAAATCATTTAACAAGGACAATGAAGGACGGCAGTGCCCATAATAACTGGCATTGCCAGGGAGGTCTAGGAGAGTCCAAAGGAGCACAGATAAGAGTATGTGCAGGTCTGTGTGAATACAGAAAGGCAAGAGGCTGAAAAATGTGGCACCAACATGCCACCTCCTTGCATGGTGAAAATAATTTAGGAACTCCCAAGAACGTTCATCCTATGCTAAGAAGTGTTTAGGTGCTGACCAGGATCACAGGCAGATTGCAGAAGCACACCAAAGACTCTAAAGAGAGAAACACAATCCCTAGCCTTCCTTTCTCATGCATGGGCCACCCACCCAGTCTTCATTACTTAGCAATCCTGAGTGAAGTACTCTCCCTCAAAGCATGGCCCTAGTGGAGAAAATGCCTTCATTTTGCGTGAAGTTGGTATGTCTTGCTGAGATTTGAATGTTGTCAGTAAGATAAGAGGAGAGGAGAAAGAAGAATTGAATCTTTAGGATTCAAACCTGGAGGGAGAGAGATTGTTAGGACTGGCTCAGCAGGGGACAGTGATGCCTCTGGATGAAGAGATCCACTGTGGAGGGATGGACAGGTGGGCATGGTAGGCTATTTCTCTAGAAGCTGGAGAAACACCAGGGAGGGATAGTGAGGAGGATGAATACTGACACCTGTATCAAGGTTGCAGGCATTGTTGGCCAGGTGGGCTATGGGGCAGAATGGTCCAGGCATGATCGAACCTAAATTTGTATTCCCTAAGTGTGCACAAGCTCCCATGCTGGCAGGGCATGTGCCTGGCTGTACCAATATCTGTATGGCATGACAGAGGCGGAGCCATCACAGATAGATAAGAATGCGTGTGTGGTTCTCAGCATCTTGTGTGGGACCCCGCTCAGTCTTCCCACTGCCTCCCAACTAACCTCACTTCAGCATGCTCCTTTACTGGATACACAACAAAGGCCTTTTTGATGAACAGATGTAGTGCAGGGGGGCAAAGCAATGAAGTATAACTCAGTAGTGTGTGACCTTAGCAAGCCAAGTGGCCTCCCTGGGCCCTGGCTTATATCTGTAAATATGAACATAGTAAGTAAGGACATTCCATCTCCCATTGAGATGCAAGATGGTTGAAATCAAGGCTATCCAGTTTTCAGCTTCTCTGGGCCACACTGGATGGAGTGAATTGTCTTAGACCACACATTAAGTTCAGAGGTGTCCAACCTGTGGCTTGTAGGCTGTGAGAACATATGCTTACTTATTTTGTGCAACTGTGAGACAACGCTGTCATTTACAAAGTTCACACTCAAGAAATGCATAATGGAGTTATAAAAAAATTGCCAAAAAAAGTCTCATCCAGGATAGGGTATACTTTGAATCCCAGTGGAGCGGGGCAGAGGTAGGCAGATCTCTGTTAAGTGTGAGGTCAGCCTGGTCTACATAGGGAGACCTGATCTAAAAAACAATGTCTTTATCATGTTTGAATCAAGTTCACAATTTTGTGTTAGGCTATGTTCACAGCTATTCTGGGGGTACACTTCTACCTTAAGGCTACAAGTTGGACATCATAAATAAAATGGTAATTGTTCTCCAGTCCTGTGGTTCCCAACTGTGTAGCTAAGCATCCCACGACACCAGAGTGAACCCAGAGGAATGGCAGGTGTCATCTGTCAGACAGCTTGAAAAATACTGATTATTTGGACTTAATTGCTTAGGGAACAGAACAATAGGCATTTTTTTTTCCTGATCTGGAAGTACTGTGAAAAAGTCACAGGCACTAAGGGTCCTGTAAATCGTGAAAGTTCTAGAAGCTCACTATGCCCTGGACTTGTGTTAGTTAGTGTTTGTCAATGTGGTACAAACTAGAGTCACCCAGGAAGAGGAAACTTCAACTGAGGAAATGCCTCCATGAGACTGGCCTAATGCAGACACGTCTGGGGGGCATTTTCTTCACTGATCTTTGATGTAGGAGGGCCCAGACATGAAATTCTCCTTCCTTCTCCCCCATCACCTGCAGTGAGGAAGAAACAAAAGGCCAGCCTGAAACTTACCCGTGGGGTCCTCTTCCTGGGAAATGTGAGGTTGAGATAGTTATTAGGAATGAATGATTTGCCCAAGCCGAAGTCAGCATATTCTCCATAGTTTTTACGCCAGGAATCTGTTAAGAAGTAAAAGCAACATTGAAATTGGGATTCAGGGCCCAGGTGGTAATGTTGTAACCTATGGGTGTCCTTGTATCAGGGCTCTTCTAGAATAATTCTCTCACCCCAACCTTTATAAATCTTAAATGGCTGAGGGTGTGGGGAGGCCACTGCATCTCTTCAAGGGTAGTCACCCTTGTTTGGCCTCTGAGTCAAAGATTTCTTGAAGATGCAGGGTAGACATACCAGCCGGATCAGACTGGAGGACAGGGAAGGCACTAGAGACTAGACACGGCCTCCATGCTTACCCATGGGTCTCAGCGGGGTGCCCCGGAAGAGCTCATAGAACTTGGAGAGGTACATGACCATGCTGAGTTTGTCGGGCTCCTGAGTAGATGCCATCTCTTTGCCTGTAGTCACAGGCAGGATCCCAAACTCACGCTTGGCCACATCAAATGCCAGCTGATTGTTCTCCACAGCGTCGTCTTCATTCAGTGAGTCAAAGTTGCTGGAGGACCAAGACCAGGGGAAGTTCAGGGTGAGCCAGGATGCACTGAGCCCATAAGGAGAACTGTGGGCTGATGATGCTCCAGCCCCGTTGAGCCCCAACCTCCAGCCCTGGAACACGCCTTGCTCATGAAGGGAATGAATCATTATGACACCACTGACCTAGCCTGAAACCGTCAGAAAATGATTTACTCCCTTTGGAAAATGTAGGAGTTACTTTAATTACTTCTCTCCCACATTTTTCATTTTAATTGCTATAGTAACAGGATCTTTTCTCAAACCAATCAAATGATATGTATCATGTGGAGATGAGAGTCCCATCTCCTCACGGCTAGATGATGTTGGTGGGTTTCCATCAGTCTTTTAGGAAGGGTTTGTACGTGGATGGGAGTCTGTGCTGCTCCCCATGTCAATAGGTGTTTTTCTTTTATCATCACGAAGGGTTTCTAGAATGTCATCTCACTTTCCAGTTGACCCTGCCATTTTGCCCACATACAAAGAAGCTTTAGAAGATTCTAGAAATGATCTGATGAATCAGAGTGTCAAAAAATACTTCTTTGGCTGAGTAGGTCTCTCTTCTACTTCCTCTCCTGGGGGGTGGGGCTTTGAGGCCTATGCTCAATTTCCAAAATGTGGCTATTAGGGTTGGGGGCCAAGTGTTGAGACGCAGCCACTGCCCCTGTGCTGACTGTCAGGTACCAGGGACACAGGGCAAACATGTTGCTGTTCAAACAAGGGAAAAGCAAGTTTTAGAAAACAACCCAACCAGAACGTGCAGAGAGAAATACTAAGCCAGGTTGGGGGTCTCCACCCAGAAAAGTCTGGGGTCCCTTGTGTCCAGGGTCCACACTCACATCAGCTCTGGCCGGAAGCGGTGGATGATGGCACACAGAGCCAGACCACTGCGCCAGGATGTGGTCAGGTCGGTGACATGGACGTGCTGGTAACCCTCGGTCTGCTGCTGGCACCAGGTTAAGAGCTTGTTAGGCCGGATGTCTGACTCTGTAGGGAAGAGGTAGGTGGTGAGGCTCTGCAGGAATTTCAGAGAGTTCAGCCTGAGCATCACTCCCACTGCCAACAGGGCTGGGAGCCAGGAAGAGTGGATGGCATAGAAGTAGCACTGATGGCCACCGCACAGGGTCTGGGTCAGCAGGAAGCACACTGTCTAATAGCACTGTCCCTGTGGTCCACTATGGCTAGGGTCCAGGGTTGGAGGCTGGGAACACAGACCCTGCATCTACTAGGTGACACTAATGACATGGGGCTGTCGTGGATAGAGGTGCTTATGACCAGGTTTGCTGCAAGCTGGCCCAGGGAGAAGAACTCTCTAGAGAAAGTGTCTGGGGATGTATATTTGAGCTGGCTACTGAAGAGTGTCTAGGAATTCATCAGACAGAGGCGTTCCAGGAAAAGAGGATGGGGTGAGAGCAGAGAATGTGGAGAGCCTGCCATGTTTGTGTGACAATAAATGTTTACTACTGTCAACAGTGTTTCCCAACAGCTGCACATGGGCTGTGTGCAGGGGAGGGAGAGAGAGGCACATAGCGGTAGCTGGAGTGTCTCTGGGTAGCAGAGGAGAGGGGCCTGAGAGAGGGGGGTTGTTGGCGAGTTACTCATTGAACCATCCCTCCCCTGCCTCTGAGCCCACTCTGTGACAGTGTTGTGTCAGGAATAGGAAGATAAGGAGGGGGGGGGCAGGAATCTGTTGTTTAGTTGCTAGGGAGACAGGACACTCATCCCAGAAATAAGAGGCAAAGAAAGATCAGCCCTGTGGAACTCCCTACAGTGGACTTTCCTGTGCTAAGTGCTCAGCAAGTAACTGCATGTCTTAATTCTGATAATCCTGTCTTACTTTTGCTCTTATAGATGAGGAAATTGAAGGACAAAGAGAAGAGGCACTTGTCAAGGTCACACAGATAAGGGGGCAGAGCCCGGCTGCTGTGGGTCTGCAGCCTCATCATGCCCTGCACAGCTTGTCCCAGGGTTCCAGAAGGGCAACTCACCCCGCCTGGAGAGGCTAACGGATCTCCTCACTGAGCCCCATCTCTCTTGAGAGAAGCTGTCCAGCTCCTTAGTGATGTACAAATGCTTCACCTACGAGCAGAGAAGACCACACATCTGCCCACCAGTTTCCAGATCCTGGGCTGGAGGCCTCTCTATGCCCTACATAAGATTCCCTACCCGCTACTACTTTCTTCAGGTATTGGCTGGTCTGACTTTCGGCAGGGCATCCAGACAACTGAGTCACAGACAAAAACTGGCTTCCCAAATGTGGCAACTGGCAGTGACTATCTAATTGTCTAATAGGAATCCATACTATTTTCTGTCCTATTAATAGAAGATGACAGAGGTTGGGTAGATAAAATCCCCAGGATAAATGATGTCCAGGCCTATGCATGGTAAGGAAGAAAGGGGGTATCTAGGTAAGTGGATTATTTTTGAGAGAGAGGTATGATCGATGTCACATTTGCACAGTGACAAATTAACACAAGAAAACATGTAAATAAACACACACATATGCACAGTTCCACTTCTGCTCTAGTTTCCTGACAGACTATAAAGAGGCCTAATAGGCCTTGGCTGTTCCTTTGCATCTTGTGGGGAAAAGAACTGCTCCACCCTTCTGCTAGCAAGCTTTGGTGGCCTCAGTTTCAGGACTGTGACAATTTATGAGACCATTACTTCTCCTCAGGTCACTGCAGAGGCTTAAGACAGGCTTGGGAGTGGGCTTACCTGGTGAGGCCTGACACAGTGCAAGTTGAGGTTTGGGTACCGTGTTCCTGGGTCCAATGTATACTGTTCAAAATTTTTGTTGATGTTCTCTGGGGTTGTCTGAGGTAACAGCCGGTAAAGACTTTCTCTGCAGAGAGTCAGAGTCCAGAAGTCAGGGGTTGCTCTTGCTATATCAGGCCCTTGTTCCTACACTCCCTTCTCCCCCAGCCTCCCAGGTTCCAGGGATCGCTTCTGGTGTGTTTGTATAATCCTCTCCTGTAATCTGACACCCCCCCCCCCAAGAGCTGTAAAATGTCAGGGAGGGACAGAGGAGGAGAGAGGAAAGAGTGTTAGGGACATGGTCTCCTTCCCTAGGCAGGAGGCTGCAATGCGGGCCCAACATCTCAGTAGCCTCTGCTTCAGCTAAAGCCACCACCCAGCCACAACGCTCCTGTGGCCTGCCTTTGTGGCCACAGTGGTCCACACCCAAGGCCATCAGAAGCCTATCTCCTATATCAGCACCAACTCTCCTGGTCAGCTGTGGCCAGCAGCAAGGGCCTGGGAGGAAGCCAGGACTTCAACTGTAGGAGAGGTCTGGCAGGTCACAGAATCCTTACTCAGGGCAGGACATTGTGAATCGTCCTTGAAGGCTTCCTTAAACAAACCTCTTGGGTCTTGTGTGGATGAGAAAAGTCAAAGAGAACCCTGATTTAGGACTAGCCTATGTCAAGATTTGTCTCTACTATCCTCGACACCAGAGAAACTCACTGACAGAGAGGAATCATGACACAGAGTGTCCTTGAAGACCCGGAGATCACATCAGGCAACCAGTGGGATGACAGAGTAAGCTCAATGCAGAGGCTGCAGGACAGCCAGCCTGGCTCTTCTCCTACCCAGAACCCTCCAGTTAGGAGCTCTGCTTTTGAGGCTCACCTTTCAGCCAGCACCTCCAGGGGAGGGGTGCCCTGGTCCCAGCTCTTCACCATCCACGCTGTGTCAAAGGCTGCCAGGAAGCCCCGGGCACAGCCTGTACCCATGGGCCAAAATGGCTGTAAAAAAACATATGTAAAATTCTCATTGACTCTAATGACTCCCAATCCCCTCTCCCATTCTATCTGGAACTCTCTGGTTGCCAGCTCTGAGCCAGAGCAGGGCTGGACCCTGCTGCCCACGGCTTACCAGAACCACAGGTAGTTGTAGCACAAATATGAAGGGTGTAATAGCCCCGTGTGTAGCAAAGCTACCTGGGGGCTCTGGAAGAGAGAGAATGGAACCAGTGAACACTTTTGAAAAGTGTGGCCTTTATGCTCATTGTAAAGCATGGATGGCGTTCTGATCTCCTTCCGTTTGGGAAGATCAGGGGCAAAGGGTTTGTGGCTGGAGGCTGCCAGAGCACGCAGCACAGGAGGAGAGTGAGGAAGGGGAGGATGGGAGGGAGACAGGGATAGAAGCGACAGGTCACAATAAGGGTGAGCAAAGACCGATCTGGTCAAGCCAAGGGTAAACAGCTTGCTCCATGGTGTACCCAAAGCAGGGTTTGCAATCTGACTCTCAGTCCTGGATGACTTTGCAAACACTGTCAATGCTCACATTAAGAGTGGAAGCTGACCCTCAAATGGTTGCTTATCTAAGGATCCTTGCACTTACAGGGTTGACAGGGAAAGTCACGATTTCAATGCTGTACTTTGAAAACCCCTTGTTCTCAAGCCTCCCTCACACTCTGGAAGATTTCTATACTGAGAGGCCACCCAGGGCCACCCACATGGGTAACAGGTCCCAGTAACACTTGGTTAGGGTCTACATGTTGTGAGGAGGACAGTCCTGGGCTCTAGATCAGGGCTGGCCAGTATTCTTCAATCTAGAAGCAGCCCAGAAGAAGCTGGAAATGGGAGGAAAGGCTTCTGCTACAGGCAAGCTGACATATTTCAGAATTCAGCCAAAAGGGCTGGCTCCCAGGCCAGCATGGCCTTGGCAGAGGTCTGCCCATTGTCTGAGAACCTGCCCTTCCTGGGATGTTGGCAGCAGAGCCTACGAGCCTGAGTGCAGATGTGTAGATCTGAACTGTGGCAGGAATGAAGGACTCTAAGGGCAGGGAGTACCTCGAGCAAGCTGTCGCCCACAAGGGCCACGAGCAGCTGGTGTGCCTGGCGCTCTCGAATCAGGGCTGCATTCTCTGAGGCGTACATGGAGGTGAAGTCGAACATGGCCACATCAGGCTGCCCATTGTGATTTATGGCAAAGTCTAAGGATGGCAGCTGGTAATTGGTGGCAAAATCCGCAGCCTCACGGGCATAGGAGAGCAGATTATCCTGGTTCACGTTCTCTGTACACAGTAGCATCTCTGTGTCAATGTAGTCCTGGGGAAGATCAAAAACATACATTAAAACCTCCCTCCTCTCCAAAGGGCCAGATTCAGACCCTTTTAGGCAAGAGACCATGGGATGGGTCTTTACCAGGGGGCTAGTCAAAACAGAAACAGAGGGGCTGGGAAATGAATCAGGCTGTAAAGCATTTGCTGTGCCAACATGAAGGCCTGAGTTCCATCCCCAGAACCCACATAAAAAAGGCAGGCAGAACAGTGTGTGATTATAATCTCAGTGTGTGTGTGTGGGGGGGGAGTCAGAGACGAAAGGATCCCCGGAAGTCCTTTGCTGGCCTGCCTAGCCTAATGGGTGAACTCCGGGCCAGTGAGAGACCTGTCTCAAAAGACAAGATGATGACTCCAGAGAAGTTCCCCCTGAAGCCAAGCTCTGCCCTCCACAGAGATGCATGTATGTCTTCAGGAAGTGTGTGTTTATGAGTGTGCGTGTGTACACACACGCACACGCACGCACACATACATGAACCAAAACTAGAAAACCAGAGCCAAGGAAATAAACACATGGTCCAGCCACGGTGGTTAGCATGGTTGTGATTAAGCACCCAGTTTGCCTTTGGGCTTCCTGGCATCCAAGGCCAAGTGGAAACGTGATATGGGCTTTCCTTATCAGAAAATGAAGCATAGCAATTCCTCATGGGAGGCAAGTTTCTTCTGGGATGGAGTGCTGAAAGATCTATCTCTCGTAGGAATTTAGACAGAGGACACTGGGAACCGTAATGAACAGTGGGCTTGATAACAGCCACTTGGCAAACAAACAAGCACATTGCACATGGCTGGTCCTGGCGATAACTTTCAGTACAATTAAGAGACAAAGGAAACGCCAGTAAATGTGACTTAATAATGGATGAAGTTAAGCTACGGAGGTCCAGATATGCTGTGGTTAGTCAAACAATATCAAAAAAAAAAAAATGGGTATGCCATGCCACTCACTGAATTTCTTTCCAGACTCAGTTGCTCACTTTTCTGTGATGCTGGGGACGCTCATGACTTGGTTCTGAAAGTGGGCAATTGTCCTATTTCTCTGTTGGGGTGGAGATGCCTGCACTCGGACAATGAGGAAATTCATCCCAGAGACAGAGTGCTACAGAATGAGAAGTTTAGAAGATTTCCAAAGTCTGTTCTGCTCATCTTTGGCAAAGGCCATCTTTCCTAAAGATGATGTGAAAGGGCGAGTTTCCATTGATAGGATGCTCCCTAGTGTATGAAAAACCTGAGTTCAGTCTCCAGCACTGATTAAAACTGGGAGCGGTGGTGCTCGCCTGTAATTTCAGTATGTGGGAGATGGAGGCAAAGTGATCAGGAGTTCAAGGTCATCCTCAGCTACAAAATGAGTTCAAGGCCAGCCTGGTATACATGAGGCCCTATCACAGCTGGAATATGGTCATGCTGTTTAGCTTTATTCTGAGACTCCATCTTCTCATTTGCAAAACCATAATTGCAAGATTCCTCCTTGAAGCCATATGAAGATGAAGTTTGAGTGTACACAGGAAATATCCCATGCTGTGCCTGGCACATAGGAAGTACTCAGCAGATGATACTGCCTGTCTCTACTGATTTATAATGTCATGAATGGTGCCATAGGATGAGATGCCAACTGGACCCATCCAAGATGCCAGCATGGGCACATCTATAGGTCCCAAGATATACAGCCTCCCCTATATCCAGAGTGACCTTCTGTTTCTATTTCTTGTGAAGCTGTGATTTCTAATATTCTATTTTGAAAATTCTAATATTTCCTCAGAGAATGTACCCAGTATTTGCCCAAGAGAGGACTGAAAGAAGCCACACCAGCACACCTGAGGGAAGAAGAGGACATCATATCTCCAGACTGACTACCTAGCTGTGAGCTGGCAGATGTGGAAGCCCAGTGCTCACACAGCTGGTGTGTGTACGTGGGGGTGTGTGGGGGGCTAGCCCTCATCTGCCTACCCACAGCCTCTGCCCACAACCCATGCTTTCAGCAGAGGCCCCAGTCAAGGTGGAGGAGGCCCAGGGGAGGCCTGGGTTACTCATGCTTCCAGGCCAGATGCCAGTACAAGCTGGTGAGAAGATAGGCACACTGTAGTTTCCAGCCTGGGACAGGACCTGGAGGCAGCTGACCTGGGGCTGTGAGATCCTTGTCTTGAAGCAGTGAACACAGGAGCTCTAGAAGGGTGGGGCCTGACCACCTCATCCTCCCCACCTCCCCTTCTCATTTTTATTCATCCATATGTGTGTGTCTACGGAAGTATATGCCACATGCATGCAAGTACCCATAGGGGTCAGAAGAGGGCACCCACCCCGTTCTTTCTTTATACTTGATGATGTAGGCTAGACATGGTGTGCATGCCTGCAGTCTCAGCCCTTGGGAGGCTGAGGCAAGAGGATGGAGAGTTTGAGGGCAGCCTGGGTTATACAGCAAGAGATTATTTCAGAACAAGAATAAATAAATAAATAAAGCAAGAAGCAAAGCCATGGAGAGAAACCAAAGAGCCAACAGGACAGAACAAGTGTCCAAACAAGGCTGGGGGTGAAGAACCCTGAAAACCAGTCTACCAGGCACTGTGCTAAGCATGATGTGTGTGCATACATATATATACATATATACATGTGTGTGCATTCCTCAGGCATCCCCCGCCCACACACAGTCACGTCTCAAGAACCCTTTTCAGAAGATTTACAGGGGTTATTCAACTTTATAGATGTAAGACTGAGATTCAGAAAAAAAAATCAAAATCTTGACCACCATCCTGAATTAGCTCATGGGAGAACTGGGTCTCTGCTCATCTCTGATGGCACAAACAGTGAGTGTGCCCCTCCGACAAAGGGCACAGTGTGAGACTCCCAAGTGATGGCATCTCTATGTTCCACAAGGACAAGGAGTCCCCATCTCTGGTAACTGACCTCCTAGGGAAGGAGTGGGGCCAAATGAAGGATGACATTTGCGGAAGGAAAAGATTCAGCTGATCATATTCTGGGCAAAGGTCTCCCACCCCATCATGTTTGAAACATATCTGTGTGGATGGGTAGTCACACAAGGTCAAAGACAAAGAAGGTGCCCCATGGTTTCTCTTTCCCTTCCCCGCTCGCATGGGTTCTAGCAGGACAGTATCTTCTCTCACATCTGCTGATACTGCCAGTCCATGCTGCCCGGGGGAAGACAGGAGAGAAATCACGGTCTACAGGTACGTACATTAATGATGACGCCTTTGTCCAGCAGGCTCTGTTTCTTGGCCGTCATGACAAAGTAGTGGGTACAGTCCTTGTAGTAAACAATGTTCTCGAGATCAATCCCTGGAAGGAGAAACATTCAGACTCAGTTTACCAACCTGCACCTTGCTTCATTCCAGCTCTCATTATGTATGTGCAGAAGATGCATATAAGAGAAACAGGAAAGACTTAGCAGGCTGGAGAAGGTAGAAGAGAGGACCAGAAGTCACCCAGACCAAAGCAGCTAGTTTTTCTGATTGCACAAAGACATGTTCAAAAACAAAGCAACCAAACAGCAGAAACGACCACAGGTGTCCAGTATTCCTAAGTTAAAGCTAGACAGAAAGTGTTATAGGAAGTGCTGGACAGGACCATGAATGCTCAGGCCACGTCCACTGTCTACTCCACAAAGTATGTCTATCATGTCCTCGCTTGCATGAGAAAACCCAGGTCAACAGAACAATAGCTCTAGGTTAAAGGCCTAGATTGCATCCTGGTATATGGGTGTGTGCCTGTGCCTATGTGTAGGCCAGAAGACAACCTCAGGTATCATTTTTCAGGTACCTGCCTCCTTGAGACAGGGTCTACCATTGACCCAAAGCTCAGCAACTAGACTAGACTGGCCAGCCAGTAAGTCTCAGGGATGCTCCTGTCTCCATGCCCTAGAGCTGGAATGAAAAACATATACTACCACACCCAACATTTTTGCGTGGGTCCTGGGAATTGAATTCAGATCCTCAGTGGAGCCATCTCCCCAGCCCTAGACCTCATCTTTTGTCCTTTCCATGGACAGCAACATATGTACATAATAGGATTCTGTACTTAAGATCATGTTGTGAGATGATCACTTGGCTCTGTGTTCTCAAAGGGATGCCAGGAGGCTCAGCCAGAGCCACTGGCTTCACCTGAGAACTTAATAGAAAGTCAAATTGTCAGGGCTGCTAAATTAGAAACTGGGGGTAGGGCCAACACCTTACATCTTAAGCTCCCTGGTTGACTTTAACGATCACTAGAACATGAGACCCTCTGGCTTAGTTTATGTGAAGGGAAGCAAAAGGCACACAGTGACCTCAAAACACCCACACAAGGTGTGCTGGGTAACCATAGCAACACCCTTATTATTACAGTAAAATAGGAAACAGCCATGCATGCAGAAGGCCCCCAAGAGAATCAAAGGAAATTCATTGCTGTCACTGATGTGAGACAATGACTTACGGTGTAACAATGGCCAAGTTTAAAGGAAGCTCATGAAAGCTTTGGAGAAACACACACAATGTCCTATCATAGTCCCTATTTGGTGGTTTGGGTATTTATTTTCTTTGTTTCTAAGGGGAAGGAAGGGCTGGAAAATTAAGTATTAAATCATTCAAAGGATATAATACTCTGGAAAGGAAATATTAAAACTTGTAATAATAAATTGTGGAGGCTCAGAGGGACATAAGATGGCAAATACTATTGTGACCAGCAAGAGGCAGAGCCTGGCTCAGCAACTTGGCCCACTCCTAGAGGATGAACCTTATAGAAAATGATTCCATGGAAAGTGGTACCACAATAGGAAACTCATGGGAGATGGAGTTAAAGTTTAAGTGAACATGTGTGTCTTTGTGGGTCACAGGGTCTTTGTTACAAATACAGTGGAACCAGCCGTAGACAATGCATGTCCATGGCTGCATTGTGAAATCACAGCCCTTGCCAAAGGACATTGAAACCTGAATGTCCTGTCATCTCAGTGTACCATGAAACATGATCCTTTTGAGTTTTTTTCCTCCCTTTGACCCCCTGAACACAGAAAACCATTCCCATCTCAGAGATAATACCAAAGCCACGGGTCATCCACAGTCCTCAGGCTTGGATGCCAAGAGATGCCACAGTCCCCCAAACCTACCATCAGGACTATATTTAAGATGTGATGTTGAATTAGAAAATGAGAAACGTAGGCAATATTTACAATGTGCTCAGAAAGGGAGAAGAAAAAGTATGGATACATTGATCAGAACTGGAGCCACGTGAAATAAGTGTGCAGGTGGCTCTGACAGGAAGTGTCAATAGACCAGTGCAGACTGGGCCGTAGGAGAGTATTCATAATTTACTTCTTTTATAGACAGGGACTCCTAGAGTTGAGGCTGGCCTCAAAACTATTATGTAGCTGGTGCTAGCCTTGAACATCTAGTTTTCCTGCCTCTACCTTCCAAATGTTGAGGTTACAGGCATATGCCCCCATGCCTGGTAAGAATAGAGGCCTTAATTTAACATTATCATTGCACTGCTTTTTCAAGGAACAGTGTGCATTTTTGGTCAGGTTATAAAGAAAGCCAATTTCTCTTTGCTTCTCCTCTTACCCTTATGAGCACCTGTTGCTCATTTACTGGCTTTCTGGCCCCAAAGAATCTAAGTCTTGGATTGCTGATCTGGTTGGCCCCATGTTGGGTGCCATTTGTAGCTGAAGTTTTCCTGGTCCTGCCTGGCCCACGGTCAGGACAAATCTCTCTCACCTTCCAGTCCCGCAGCCACTCAGACCCAAGCACACACACACAGAGACTTATATTACTTATAAACTGTATGGCCTTGGCAGGCTTCTTGCTATTTAGTTTTTATATCTTAAATTAACCCATTTCTATAAATCTATACCTTGCCACGTGGCTCATGGTTTATTGGTACTTTACATCTGTTTCTCATGGTGGATGGTGGCAGTGGCTGGCAGCGTCTCCCTGCCTCCTCAGCCTTCCATTTCCCAGAATTCTCCTCTCTCCTTGTCCCGCCTATACTTCCTGCCTGGCTATTGGCTAATCAGCACTTTATTTATCAATCAATTATCCATAGCATGTGTGGGGTCCTTATCTTGTCTCATAGGGAAAGGCATTTGATGTGCTGCACAAAGCACCTGGGAATCTTCAGGTTCTCCCCTCAGACTATAGGCTCTCTCCTCAGAATGCCCCCAGCATCTCATGCTGAATTAGGCACAGCCTTTCCAACTACCTCTTGTTATAGCACTTTATGTGGGTACCCTCTTTGGATAGGGAGGGGTGGGGCTAACATTGACTTTGTATTCCACAATGATGAGCACCAGTGAACAACAGACACTCAGTAAATGCCCATCAGTAAATTCTATAATCTATTTCCACACACAACATTCAGAACATTCTCTCAAGATTCCCTCTTTTCCTTGAAGGGCCTCTGGACATTCACTGTACTGAGAGAAATCTTTGCTCCCAGACTCCAGTCCCAGTGACCCCTGGAAGCCAGTGGGCCCCGTGAACAGTTTGGAAATCTTGGACAAGGGACTAGGGAGATGGCTTAGTCAGAAAAATGTATGCTGGGCAAATATTGCAGAATGGAATTTGATTCCCAGAATCCACGAGTTGGGGGAAGGCCGCCATGGTATTGTAACCCCAATGTTTCACAGAAACAGACACCTGGGGCTCATTGGCCATTCAACCTAGCCTACTTGTCAAGCATTAGGTCAGTGAGGCTTTTTCTCAGGAAAAAAAAAGTGGACAGCATCTGAAGAATGATGGTTGAGGTTGTCATCTGACCCCCACACATGTGTTCACACATGCATACATATGCACGCACACACACACACACACACACACACACACACACACACGCACACTCACAGCAACTGTGAATAGGGTCTGGTTTAGAGATGTGAAGTCTTAACTGTTTTTCCTTTTTTTTTTAAAAAAAAGATTTATTTATTTATTATGTATACAATATTCTGTCTGCATATATTCCTACATCCCAGAAAAGGGCACCAGATCTCATTATAGATGGTTGTGAGCCATCATGTGGGTTCTGGGATTTGAACTCAGGACCTCTGAAAGAGCTGCTGGTGCTCTTAACCTCTGAGCCATCTCTCCAGCCTACCTGTTTCTTCTTTAAGGTCCTGAAAGAACTTCTGGTTGAAGATGAAGGCCACGCCACTGATCTCCTCCACCTTGGCCTCGGCCGTGCTGTTCCTGTTTATGAAGTTGGCAGTGATGGCAATGGCCAGCTTCCCTCGGAACTCCTTCCTCCTGAACCCTGCAGAAGGGAAAGGATAGATGGGTCAGTCCTCTAGGTTGGGTGGGAACTCAGACAACATTGCTGAGGACACTTCTCAGTGCCCCACAGACAAGGGGGACAGGGGCTCTGGAGCAGGCAGAGGCACCAGGCTTGTTCCCGCAAGAGGCATTTTGAAGTCAGTGTGGCTCTGTTCTTTCCTATACTGTTGGACCATATGGGCTGCTTACATATCCACAGGCCAGTGGCCAAAATGATCTGTGCAGGAGGCTACCGTAGAGCTCAGCCCTCTGTAAACACTCTGAGTATGTCACTGAACACTTAAGACGCTTTGGCATTGGAGCCTTCCATGAGTCAAATGATTTTGTTAGCATTTTAAATGGAGAAGAAAACCTTTTGAAAAATAGGATTAGACTGAACTCCCATAGGACAGGGATGCTAAAACATTTTCTTTATATCTTCGTTGTTATGGGTCGTATTGCATTGTCATTTCCCCACCACATATATGTGGTGAAGTCCTAACCCTTGGTGTCTCTGTATGTGACAATGGAGATGGGGTCATTATAGATGTGCTTAGTTAAGATGAGGTCTACTGGAGTAGAATGGGTCCTCTGCTGTAACATGGCTGACGTCTTTATTCACAGGGAAAGCTGGACACACATACACACTGCGGGAGATGCTCCATATAGATGAAGGCAGAGCCGGGATGGTGCTTCTGAAGGCAACATCAAGGCCTAGCAAAGGAAACCAGTACACTAGTTCCCAGGAGCTGGTGCCTAGGATGTACGCTGGCTGGTTTACGTCTTGACATAAACCTAGACATACCTGGGAAGAAGGAATCTCAACGGATGAATAGCCCCCCATCAGACTGGCCTGGGGGTACATCTGTGGTGGCATTTTCTTGATTAGTGATTGATATAGGAGGGTTCAACCTATAGCAGGCTGAGCATAGACCCGAGGCTTTCAAGTATTCTGACCCGTATTTTTCCCAAACCACCAGAGCAATCCCACAAATCATACATGTATTCACACTGGCAGATTTAAGTGCCCTGACAGATATTGCTGTGAGAAGATGGGTACAGGAGTGGGGGCAGGGCAAGTAGAGACTTGGCAGAGTGAGGGGCAGACAGGAGAGGCCTGAGCTGGAGGACCACACATTCAGAATTTTCTGAGATCAGACTTATTTCAGTCCGTGCATTCTATCCTCAGAGAATGAGTTTTCCCAGCCATGCATCTTCAGCTTGGGACCCTTGACAGGGGCAAATTCAGAAACCACAACTCCCCCTACTCTAAGAGATGCCACTGGTACCATGCTGTTTTTCAACCATAGTCTCAGACAACATTTTCAGTATAAATGAGTACATGAAGCCTGTCTGCTGCACTCAGAGAAGCATGGCTTTGAATCCTGACAGTTTTCCTAGCTGCCCGGCAGTGGGTGTGCTTAAGAGTTATGAAGAGGGCCCCACTGTTGATTGGGAGAGTACTTGAACATGAGCGGATGCCATTAAAATCTTGAGATGTTTGCTTTAGATGAGGTGAGAGGAGAGTACCTTGGCTAACACAGCAGCAGGTGCTCAGTGAGTTTGTGTTGACTTTTCCCACAGTGTCCTCCCTTTAAGAAGCATTTTCACAGAAAAGCCCTCCCCCACTCCTTGCCTCTGTGCTCTGAGAGGTTCTGCTACCCATATTCTCATTTGGGGATGCTTAGGTCCAGCGCGAGAGGGAAAGTGGAATGGCCATCCTCACACGCTCAGCCTCAGGCAGGACAGAACAGACTGACCTCTACTCTTAGCCAAAGCATCTGCCATCTTGATCACCCTTCTCTGGTTCCCCTCATTATCTCTCAGCTCTAGCCCCGAAGAAGAATCCTCACCTTCCAGAGTGTTCCTATGGCCGTCAGCACCAACGATGACGTCAAACTCAAAGTCAGACAGGGCGTGGTCTGCAGGGAGGAATTCTGCCCGCCAGCCGACTTCTACCGGGGCAGAGAGACTATTAGATGAGCTGACAGAGGCAGGCTGAGAGAGTGATGCCACCCCTCCCTGCTGGCCATGAGAAATGGATAATGACCCAATGGAGTCTCCCTAAGAAAGGCCCAGGCATCAGGTATATACAGCCTCTTGACACTGTGACACAATGCTGTCATCTACAAGGTTCATGGTTGAGAACTGTGCAATTGAGGCTTTTTTAATGTCAAAAAGCTCCCATAATATTTTAATAAACTTACTATTTCCTCTTTGGCCATATTCATAATTATCTTGGGAAGCATGTGGTTCCCAGGCCGCAGCTAGGCACCCCTGGACAGTCCATATCTAGGTTCTCTGTGGTTTTGTATCAGTGCAATCCAGCACAAAGCTAAAAGGAACTGCCAGCTCCACGCCTGGTCTGACTGAACTGTGCTAGGATGCTAACCTTCAGCAATCTCAAACCAGGCTGCCTGGTCCCTGCTATATCACACCAGATTCACCCGTATTCGGCCCATATTCAATGGCTTCTCATTGTCAAGCAGGTCCCAGGGGGTGTGGGAGATGCTGGGAAGCCACTTCGCATTTCTGCTTCTTGCTCCAAGGGTTTGCTGCTTGTCGAAACACACTCTCAGGGCAAGCCTGGCTGGGTCCTCAGAATTAGGACCGACTACCCAGCAGAGACGTTTCAACAGGAGCACACAGTCTCTGAGTGTCCCAAATGATAGTGTCTTGTTAGAAAAGCAAGGAAATCCTCCCCAAATTGTCAAATATACTAGGCTGAGGCCAGGAGAAATTCCATGGGAAACAGCAAAGCCTCCAATACACACTGTCTCAAAACTCAGCATTTCCAAGGCAAGAGGCAATAATGATAGTAAGATATAAAACCTGGATGACAAATTCCATGTCTATGGTGTGTAAAAGAGATCAGAATTTGATTTCCTTTTTTTCTATTTTTTTTATAAGGTAGGTTCTCAGTATGTAGCCCAGGTTGGCCTTGAACCCACAACCATCTTGCCTCAGTGCTGGGATTATAGGTATGTACCACCATGTTCAGTTAAAATATCAGAATTTAAGTATGCATAATAAGAAAGAAGAGTATTATCAAGACATTTTATGGTCTATAAATTAAAACTCAATAAAATTAAAAATACTGCTAGGTATGATGGCGTACCTGCAATACCTGTAATCCTAGCATTCAGAAAGAAGTTCAAGGGTCATCTTTGGCAACATAGCGAGTTTGAGGTCAGTATGGACTACATAAGACTATCTCAGGAATAATACATATGTTGTGGTGGTTTGAATGAAAATAACCCCCATAGGCCCTTAGGGAGTGGCACTATTGGGAGGTGTGGCCTTGGAGGAAGTGTGTCACTAGAGTGGGCTTTGAGGTTTTGGAAACTCAAGCCAGTCCCAGTGACTTTCTCTTCCTGCTATCTGCTGATGGAGATGTAGAACTCTCAGCTACCTCTCCAGCACCATGACTGCCTGCATGCTGCCTTGCTTCCCGCCATGATGATAATGGACTAAACCTCTAACTGCAAGCAAGCCCCAGTGAAATGTTTTCCTTTATAAGAGTTGCTGTGGCCAGGCTGTCTCTTCACAGCAACAAAACCCTAAGACATATGTATTCCAAGAAATATCTACGGCCTTTGTTTTACAGCTGTTCTAGAAGTCTCAATTTCTTTACTGTATTTTAAAATATTTTGCGGGCACAGCAGGCACATCCACCCATCTGTGTGCGGACTGGCACACACATGCTGAAGCTTGTGTGAACTTTATTACACTACCAGGTCTGTCTTCTTTCCTGCCACTGGCCGGATGTCGTTTGTCAAAGCTGCATCTTCCTAGGGGCTGAGTAACCAAATTATAGGCTTCATGGCGCACATAGTATTTCCACCATCACCCCCGCCCTTGTCGGGAGCTGAAGAATAAGCCCAAAGCCACAGAAATGGTCAAAAAAGGTAAAGTATTTGTCAGTGGAAGTATGCCAAACAGCTCCCAGCAAAAATAACTTGCAGAGATAGCCTCTGAAAGCTACCAGCACTGCTGCCCGCTTGGAGTATCTGCCTTCAAGGCAGGGAAGGAGAATCACACTGTACTTTGATTTTCTTGGTCTTCAGGAGGCTCTAGAACCCTCACGAATTCCACATTCACGTGGATTTCCACTCCCAACATCAGGGCCACCTTGAACAGGATGAGCTGCAGTTGACGGATACCTGTCAGGAAGGAAGGGAAGGGAGAGAGAGGACTGTCAGGAGCAATGCTTGAGCACCACCTGGATGTGAGTACCAGGCAGGTGTGGCTCACCGTATCAGCTGAGTTTGCACCAAGCACTCAGGTCTTTTCATTCATCCCACACAGCGGCCTTTGGGGAACCTTCTTATTTTCATTTAATAGAGGAGATTTTGAGACTTGATAAAGTCAAGTGACTGCCCAGGGCCACACAGAAGCAAAAAGCGGAGCGGAGCCAGTTCAGTCTGACCCGACAGCTTGGCTCTAGCTGTACCAGGCTGTTCTAAGTAGGAAGAGCTGTCTGTCCTTCCTTCACCTTTGCTGAGCCGGGCTCTGATCGGATGAGATAAAGATGGAGAGAGGAGGAGACAGTGAGAGTCAGGGGCCATAAGGGAAGTCAGAGATCAAAGGGCTCATTGGATGCAGCCCATGCTCAAAGCTCCTCCATCTCCAACGGGAAGGGGCAAGGCAGGGAATTCTCCCCACCAACTGTGCTCAATGCTCTCCACTTTTTACCATGTCAGATGCCTTCAGTGAGCGCAACCTTGTTTGTCCCCCACCGCTCAGCACAAATGGGCATGCCTCCAACTATTTTTCTGCACAGTGAGAAGTTGTAAACTTGCTGTGGGCGTCTCTGTATTGAGTGGGCGTAGCTCATTTAATATTCACTGAGCACCCACAATGTGCCAGGTGCCATTTTAGTCACAGGAAGATGGCACATGCTGTCTAATGGAGGAAGCAGATGGACAGAATGCCGGGGCTTGGACTGGGGCTGCAAGAGAGGAGCAATTGGGAGCATCAGATTCGCTGGACAGACTGAGAACAATGAGGGCCACATGAGGCCAGGGCACCCCGGAGCCAGGAAGCTGCTGGGTAAAAATCTCTTTAGTGTGGCAACAGAAAGGAAGCAGACAACCATGGGAGGAGTATGAATGGACAGACAGACAGTCCACACTTCCTCTTCTAGAACAAACCCTTTGAGCTAAGGAACAATAATGGGGTCCCCACAGAAGGCAGGGTCCAGGGTGAGGAGCAGGAAGACTGGTGATGGGGAAGGGGGAAGAAGGAGGAGAGAAATCCAAGAGGGATCAGAGTTGGAAGGTGGGCTAGCTCTGTTTCTGTCCTGGGGGCGCTAAGAAAGGAAGATAAGTGTGTAAGGGGCAGGCCAATGACCTCTCTTCATCAGGCATAGGACACAGACCGCTGCTAAGATCCTAGGGCTGGAAGAACAGGGGTGGGGAGTGGAGCGTTCTAACACAGTACTAAAGAGAAGTGCTGAGCAATGCTGAACCTGAGGGCGCAGCTGTGGCTGGAGACCGCCCACAGTCTGAGCAGAAGCCAGACAGCTGGGTTTAGAGAGCCCAGGCCACAACCTGCTAAGGAGACAGTCCTTCCAGGGGAGGCTTGGCCACACCTTACTCACATTGTCGAGGTCCCTGGCTTCCAGTACACAGTGGGTGCTCTATAAGTTCCCACCTCCATTCTAACAGGACTTGCCTTGACGATGCCACATCCTCTTAGCACTGTGCTCAAAGCTGTGCTCCACATTCTAACCAACAGACCTTCTTCTCTGGGTGGGTCAGAGCATCCCGCCAGCTCATGCTGTGGCTTTCTGGGCAAATACAAATTTCTTTCCATTGGACTCCTGGAATTTTCTCATCCCAAAGTGGGAATAAACTCTGGGGCTGCTGCTGGTAAATTCTTCTGTGTCTGAATAAATTATACCCTTAGCAGCTGATAATTCTCTCCAGTCCCACCCACACCCCACTCACTTTTCCCATCAATTCTGGTCTCATATGGACATGGCTCTTTGGGCTCCCTTCTCACCCATCCCCATGGAAATGTACAAGGTTCTTAGGTTTGAGGACCACACATGGCACCCTGTTTACTATATGCCACAAAGCACTTTAGTCCTTACTACACAGCAGATATAGTGCTACCATGTTACAAACTTGACCCCAGGTACCCTTAGCAATTCAAGGAGACAAGATTAATCCTGTTTTATAGGAGATAAAATCGAGGTCTGAGGAAGGTAAGGAATTTTAACCAAGTAAGGAAGAAATAAAAGAGACATACTTTGTGTTTAATTCACTTGATTCCCATGTGACCTGCCTGACTTCCATAAGTCCCACTGTAATAGAGATGATGGCTAGAGACCTCTTCCCTGCGAAGCTCAGAGGAGGAGGGAGGCTATCTCTCCAAAGCTGGTATGCACAGATCTTGCCTCAAGATGCCAGGAGTGACCAATGGCAGAACAGGAGCCATACTCCACAGGGGCATTCAGAGACTGCCCAGCATCAGGTCTACATCCTCAACTTCCCTTCCCAGCCTCCACCAAGGCACACCATGCAGCCTTCTCTCGTCAAAGCTCTCAGGAGCACTGGTAAGCAGTCTGTCAGAGATTACACATCCAATTACATCACTCCTCTCATCTGCCACCTGCCCTGCTCCCCAGGACTAGCAGCACAATGTCCAAATGCCTCTGCACAAGGAAGTCTCAACCATCTGGCCCTGTTAGAGCTTTTGTGAGTTCTCTCTTTAAATTCCTCCTGGGAATGTGACTCACTCTATTAGAGCACATTTTATTACTGACAAAAATCTTAGTGTACTCCCGGAGCGTACAGACTCGGCTGCTTACCTCAGGGCTTTGTATTTCATTCATCCACTCAACAGATGTTTATTGTTCATCTATTATGTGTCAAGCACTTAGGCCCTGGAGACAGGTCTTTTGGCAAGCAGTATGTGCCAGAGTCTGTGACCAATGGGATATAGCACAGAGCCCAGAATAACCCACAAAGTAGCCTTCATGGTCTGAATGTGAAATGTCCTCACAGTCTCATGTGTTTTGACATTTGATCCCCATCCAGTGGTACTGTTCTAGGAGACTGTAGGACCTTTAGGAGATGTGGCCTAGCTGGAAGAAGTGAGTCACTGGGGTAGGAGGGGAGCTTAATGCTTATAGCCTGGCCTTTCTGCTGGGCTGCTCATCATTTCCAGATCTGCCCAGGTATGAGCTATCAGCCATGCAGCTGCTTGCCTTTTTGACTTCCCTGACATGATAGGCTGTGTCCCTTCAAACCATGAGCCCGAACAAACCTCTCCTCAAGTTGATTCCTGCGAAGCATTTGACCACAGGCAGAGCAAAGTAACTAATGCATAGTCCTTCAGGTAACATCTGTTAGTTGGATGTATGGATCCTCAAGGACCAGTGGGGGCTCCCATATATGACAAGATGGGTCCACCCACAGTGAGACCTGGACCTTCATGAAGTACCCCACCCCAAGCCCCACTCACTGATGTGGTCGATGGAACCAGCACAGAATTTCCCATAGAACTTCTTGGCTCCTAGGCCGCGCAGGTCGTGGATGGTAAAGGGCCAGAGGTGCAGCACATTGTTCCGGGAGAAGGTGTCCCTCTTCTCCACTACAACCACTTTGGCTCCCAGGTAGGCAAGTTCAATGGCAGTGCGCAAGCCACACGGTCCTCCTCCGACAATGAGACACTGTGGAGGAGAAGGAGACACTTAGCAACCTTGAGCGTCCAGGCAGTGCCATCACTGAGGTACGACCTCACCAGCCACGTCATCCTGGGCATCTGCTAGGGTCTGTCATTTATCTACCCAGTGTATGTTCCCTGTGGGTCCATCACAGACTAGACACTGTTCAAGTCCTGGGAGGACACAGAAGGGGATTTTTGGAGAAGGTACCATAAGATACGTAGGAGGTTCTGAGTAAGGCGGAACCAGATCTGATCCCAGCCCTGGTACACCACCTCTTAGTTTCCTCTCCTGTGAACTGGATCTATGAAGTGCTGCTTTTCTTCAGAGGGCTGTTGTCAATGGGATCACCTTTGGGAAGTATATTGGGCTGGGGAAGTGGTTCAGCTGTAGGGCGCTAGCCTAGCATGTGCAAGGCCCTGAGCTACGTGTCCCCAGCAGCACTAAATAAATACACAGTAAAAGAAGGAAGTGCTTCCGAGTCGCGAAAGTGTGTGGAACATCATTCTTGTGACCGAAGGCTAGCCAATAGTTCCTTAGGACCAAGAGCCAAACAACAAGAGAAAATATTGACCATCTGGATTTCAGCAAGATTAAAAACTTCGGTGCTGGGGCTGGAGAGATGGATCAGTGGCTAAGAGCATTCTCTGTTCTTCTAGAAGCCAGAGTTCCATTCCCAGCACCCATGTCAGGCGGCTTACAACCACCTGTAATTCCAGCTCAGAGGATCTGACACCCTCCTCTCGCCCATCATGCACCAGCACACAGATCTGACACCCCCCCCATACACAAATAAAAATAAATCTTAAAATAAAACTGATGTTTCAAAAGATATTTTTGCCCAGGAAGTGAAAAGAAGACAGTTAGGGCGGCACACGCCTGTGAGCCCAGGCCAGCCTGTCTCACCCCACCCCCTCCCCAGCCTGGCAAAGGAAAGGAAACAAGGGAAGACTGTCCCACTGATGGGAGAAAACATTTGCAAACCACATAACTGATAAGTCCTGATAACGTACTTGTATTAATATGCATAAAAATTTGACAGCTTAAAATGAAAAATAAATTAAAATACCTGAGTAAGCCCCGAGAAAGAACTTAGATAGCATTTTTCCCCCAGTAAAGATATACAAAGAGTCAGTAAGTAGATAAAAAGACCTCAACACTATTAGTCATCAGAGAAATGCAAAAGTAAGCCAAGGTGAGTGGCCACTCTTTCGTCGCTAGTAAAGGTTCTAATTTGATGGAGGCACAAGAATCAGGAGCTGGAAATACTCAAAGTTCACCATCTTGCTAGTGCAAATGATTTCAAACAGTCTGCTATAGCAATTCCTCTATCAGTTAAACCCAGGGGTACCATATTAGTCAGCCATCCCACTCCTAGGTACATAGACTCAAGAGAATCAAAGACATCTCCATGAACATCAAGGGAAGGATTATACATATTAGCCCCAAATTGCAAACAACTTGTGAGCCTATGAATTAATGGATAAGCAAGATACAGGTGTGATATCGGGGTGCCTATATGTATTTGCATGTGTGGGTGCAGGTATACGTGTGTGGGGGCCCAAAGTTGACATCAGGAGTCTTCCTCAATTGTTCCCCCTTATTCAAGTGACCCTAGGGCTTGCTGATACAGAATAGTCTAGTCAGCCATCCTGCTTTTGCTCTGGGGATCCCTGATACCTGCTTTCTGAACACTGGAATTACAGATGGGCTGCCACACCCAGCTGGTGCTGATTTGGGTTTGGGGGTCTGAACTGCAGAATAGGCAATCTGTATAGACAGAAAGATTGGTGTGATAAGGTTAAAGGGAAGGGAAGATTGGGAAGTGAATGCTACCGGGTACATGGCTTCCTTTTAGAATGTTCTGGAATTAGGCAGTGGTGATAGTTATATCCTTTAGTAGGATAAATCTTATAGTATGTTGGTTATATTACATACAATAAAACAGTGAAACCCTATCTAAAATCAAAATGGACTGGCGATAACTCAGCAGTTAAGAGCATTGGCTGCTCTTCGAGAGGACCCAAGTTCAATTTCCAGCACCCACACAATGGCTCACAACCACCTGTAACTAGTTCCAGGGCATCCGATGCCTTCTTCTAGTCCCTATGGGCACTGTTTGCACGTGGTACACACACATACACACAGATACTCAAATATACACGTAAAATAAGTATTAAAAAAATAAAAACTTCCCAGTGGTAGAATCCCAGGACCCAATTCTAGGTAATGTTAGACAAACAAAAATTGTGGTAATTAGAGAAAGGCATGCCACACATTGGTATGAATGTTGGATTATTATTTCTTTTTTTACAAAGTTTTAAATTTTATTATTCATATGGGTGTTTTGCCTGTGGATATGTTTGTGCATCAGGTGTTTGCCTAAGTGCCTATGGAGGCCAGGAGATGGTACCAGAGCGCTTGAAACTGGAGTTACAGGTGGTTTCAAGGCACCATATGGATGCTGGGAATTGAACCTGGATCCTCCAAAAGAGTAGCCAGTGCTCCTAACCACTGAGCCATCTCTCCAGCCCTGAATGTTGGAGTCTTATTACTGAAAACTAACACCTGTTTCTAGAGACTCCCAGGCCATGGGGTAAATCTGGACTTTGAAATAAAGAACTACAATGTCTTATGGTTCATCTATTTCATGCTCAGAAAGAGAAAAGCTAAGTCTGCCTGGTAGAATGCCAGGAGAGGAGGGGCTTCCCGTGTCATCCTCATCATCATGGTAGCCCACATCTGTGGTGCACTCACTCACAGTCGTGTGCTTGACTTCTCAAATTCAGGAACTGTTATTGCTCATAGAAGAGAACTTTCATTCTGACCATTTCCCAAATGGGAAAAGCAGGGCACAGAACTGCAAGGTCACTAACTGGTCCATGGTGTCAGATTGAAAGGGGGCAGAGCCAGGATCGAAACCCAGATGGTCTTGCTTCCAAGTCTACCATGCACTCCTGCTTCTGGTTTGATGGAAATAATGAGAAAACCAAACATCTCAGCCGCTGGAGCCCATTTGGAGAAAAAGGGGTGAGGGGTGAGAAAAGAGGAGAGTAGTCTGCACCCAGATGCTGAAGGTCTTAAACGCATTGGTTTTCTTGGCACCGGGCCGTGGGTGAAGAAGAGACAAGGCCCATATACCAAGTCATGCATGTTGAAGAAGACCATGTCCTTCTCCAGAGAGGACACAGTCTGTTAGGACAGAAGAGGAGGCACATGGTGATGTAGATAGTCACACTGACATCTAATTTTCTTCAGTGCTGTGTAAGACCCGAAAGCATGGCGGTAGCCCAGCAGTGGCAGGAGTTCACAGGTGAGTGTGTGTGCGGGGTGGGTGGGGTGGACATGGGGGTGTGGGGTATGTGCGAATAGCTGAAGCTGTTCAGCAAGTCAATAAGCGAGGCCTTCACCCACTTCTCGCTCACTGACGGATGCTGCAGAGACATCTGGAAACTTCCCTCTACTTGGGATTAAATGTTATCTTAGAAACACATCCCTCTTCCTGAGCAAATACTCCATCCTCTCATGTCACTCCCTAGGCCGCCAGGGTCCCGGAGGGAAAGGGCGATCAAGTGTATCAGAGGCTCCCACACTGCAATCAGTGTAGTTTACTGGCTGGAACCTTCCAGAGAGTTTGTAGATACCCAATTAGAGGAAATGAAGTCACTGCTGAGATTTGACTCACCCCCAGAGACTTTGGGGAGTGCGGGGAGGGGGGGAGTGGGAGGGGGACTGGCTTCCTCTCTGGACAGAGGTGCCTGGAGAAAACCAGCTTCCTCAGCCCAGATCTGTACGTTATCTCACCCTCCATGTAGCTTCTTGCTCCACATAGCCAGACAATGACGGTCATTTCAGAACCGGCTCCAAACCCCAGGCTTGTGGGGTTTGCTTTGGGCGAAGTCTGGACCCATTACATGTCTTTGCAGTTACCACATTTTTCCCGTTGGTGAGTTCTGTCACTCCACGGCCAGAGCTGGGCCAGCTGGAGGATGGAGGGTGAGGAGGACAGAGGCCTTCTGCAGTTTCTGTTCACCATGCCTAACCCATCTCTGGTACCCAGACAAGGCAGGAAACCTCTTCTCCAGCCAGGGACTGTTGTACCTCGAGTGTACAAACACTAGCCAGGACTCATGTCCAGTCTTCTTGGCAGCACCTGGGTTCCTGTCAGCGAATGTTTGTTTGGCCTTCCTATCATCCTAGGCTTTGTTGCATATTTTGGGCCTGGAATCTCAGAGATGCCAGTCATACCATGATTTTAATCAAAGCAAATGCCAATGGGCTTAGTTATATCAAGGAAGAAAAATCTCGGCTGGCACAAGGGGGGGGCTGGGGCAGTGGGGGGCAGGACGGTTCCCCTCGGAATGTGCTAGTTATGATTAGAATGGAGACTTGGTATCCTGACAAGTGGCCAAACACCACGCAGCCACGTGTCTGGGCAGAGGAGCAGCACTGGCTTCCTGGGATGCCCGTGGTCAGAGGATGCTCTGGATGACAAGTGTGGCCCAGTAGACTGAACCCAGAGGCAAAGGACCCTCCTCTTTCCACAGACCCACCCAGCAATTGCCACTTAGGTCTGACTTTCGATAGATAGAGCTTCTGGTTAAAACTCAGCCTCAGTCAGCGATTGCTCACTCTGCACAAGCATGAGAACCTATGTTCAGGCCCAGAGCCCATTTTAAAGAGAAAGAGCAAAAAAAAGAGAGTGGGGAGAGGGCCAGAGAGACAGAGACAGAAAGAGAGAGTTGTGTTTGATGTCACACAGCTGTGGGGAGGCAGCGAGCTTGAGACAGGTGGATCTCTGGGCTCACTGACTAGTCAGCCTAATTAAAACGGTGAGTCTCAGGCCAATGAGAGACCCTATCTCAAAAGACAAGGTAAATATCTCCTGAAGAGTGACTCTCAAGGCTGCCCTCTGCCCTCCATACACACACATGAGCAAACATGTGCACCTACCACACATCCATGAACACACACAATGAATGCACACACACACACAAACATGCACA